TAACAGAATATCGTCCTACAACCTGAACGAAACAATTGGTAAATTTGAAGGAGGCGAGGACGAATTGGTTCTCGGAATGACTGACGAAATGTCGGCGAAGAGAGTTCTCAACTCAAAGGCGTGTGGGGCAGAACGGAGATGAGTTAAGTATTTAATTGTCCAAGTCAAGGACCGCTAATTGAAATGAATTATTACTTCAAGTGAAACAAGCTGCAACCGGATCTTCCGGCGGAATTGATACTGTTTTGGTCAAAGACGTGAGAAATGTCAAAATAGTTCATGGGGCATGTTTTAGACCGTTTACGCTTCTGCAATGTATAATATTTAATGGTCTGCTTAAAGTAGTACAAGCAGACTTCTCAACATATTGTTAAATCTGATGTTTGTTTTTATGTTTTACGTTGGTAATGTTGAGTGCATTGATGTTGTCCATTTCATTTCCGGTTTTGTAAATTGTACATTTTGTGAACTAAACATAGCTTGAAGAATCTGAGGAAGAGTTATTATGAATAACGTTTGCTATGGTTAAAAATGCGTTAAGGTTGGCGAATTCAGAAAGAAATCACCATACCAGTTGGTATTGTAAACAGTGAATGGTAAATAGTAGTAAACTTATGTTGAAAGGTGACTTTTCATCGTTCTGTATTCAAAAATACAGCCCATTTCCATAGGCATACAGCTGAAATCTTCGAAAATCTTCGATTTCCGTATACACTAAAAACAAATAGTAATCAGCAGAATTTTAATGACTTAAACATTACTTTCGCTACACAAACAATAGTTTACCTGACATCAACTTATCAAAGTTACGACTGATTTTTTTTTAAGTTTGGTAAAGTAGTTTTTCTTCATCGTGATGAAAATTATCGTTCAATACTTGTCACGTAAGTCCCATTTCGGGGCGAGATAGTGTTTTACATGCGAGTCTCTATAGTAGTGAAATATAATATAACAAAGGCCTACATTATTTTATCATTAGTAAAAAGGCCGGGGAAAAAGGAAGCAGCACCCGGGATTTCATGCTGGTGCCAAAGGGCTTATCCCAATTACGCTTGGTACTCAGAAATCTGTCAAAACCGACTGTCCAACTCGGTGTTTATAGTTTATATCATTGAGTATAAACGTAACTAAATTTAAAGTATATTAATTTTAACGTAAATTTAAAATTTTTATGGAGAATATTTTAAAATGTTGTAGTTTGCTTGTTTATGGATATATTTTGATCAAACTTGGCAAATTTATTCATCTTATACTAAGCTTTTAATTTTTTTACTAAAAACACACTTGTAGTAAACCTTTGTAAATAACTAAGTAAACATAATGGTATTTTTTAATTGAAAATCAATTCAGACAAATAACAATTTGCTTAGTTTGCTGCGGCGGGGGTATTTTTTTCAATAGATCTTTGGATAGCTTATCCCACATGAATTACCTCTATGCTTCAAAACCAAGCCCAACGCGCAAGTAATGATTTAGGTGAATCGTGTCCTATTCCAATAATCGTACTGTATTTAGGTTTGACGATGAACTACTCGATGTCGATTTATAAGCCAATCATCGGTCTCAGGTAAGAGACACGACTCTCGGCTTTTCAAACAATCAATTCATACAGTTATGGACTGTACTGGAATCGGCTACGTTTGGCTTAGCAGTTATCCAATTCCGTGGCACCAAGTGAACTACTATATAGTATATAGTGTTGTGAGTCACTCAATCACTGCGAGAGTCAACGAATACAAACGTTTCTTTGCTAAATGCCATGTTTTTAAGGGGTGAAAGCATACATTATTTCAAATATGTAGTTTAATATATTCCGAGTTTAAGCCAATTTCGTTTATAATTTTAACACAATTTAAATGTATTAGTAAATAAGTAAACAGAACTGGAATGAGTAATGTTTGTCGATTTTAGTGACATCTAGTGGTGACTGGGTGAACTGTTGCGAGCCTCGATGGTAGTTACATCTGGCGGTGGTTAGGCGAACTGGTGGAAATGCAAACCTTGACGATGACGATGGTTACGTTAGTCTCTAATAGATGTTCCAAAGTCTACAATACATCTAAACTTACCTAGCCTGACCTAACCTGCCACATGAATAAAGTAGCTATGAACAAATGAAAGTGTAACATTACTTTTGGGAATTGGACTGGACCCTTCTGGGGCTATAAAACTTACTATTCCTCATCCAAAATCTGACCCCCGAGTGGAGTTGGGCTGAGGCCCCTAAAGACCTTTCTGGGAGAGTACTTTACACCACACTAACAGCAACACGTTTTTACAATAAGTTCTTTTCTAATTTAGACATCTAACATAAACCTTCTAATATGTCGATTACTTCGTAATTTTAAAAACATGGAATACTCTAACTCATACCTAGATTATAGGCAGCAGATTATAGAAAATTTCTTTTGAATAATATTATTATTTCGTCAACTGTAACACAACTATCTACATACATAAAAAACAACGTCAAAGTTATTCAGGATGATACAATACTCGTATTGTTGTGGTGGACGAGTCTGTGCTGAGGAGGGGGGAGCATAGCATTGTTGTAGTCCGCAAGACTGGTCTACCGTACTCCAGCTGAATTTACCAGTCCCTTTCTGTAAACAATTAACAACAACCTTCTGGTATCAAATTGAACGGAAAGAAGCAGTTAATTGAGTGTGGTGAAATAGTATATTTCGTACCTAGGGCCAAAAATTAGGTTTTGCCGGCTCGAGGTGGCTCAAGATAGTTTTTAACTTAAAACGATCGAGAGCTGCAAAAGCATTTCGGTCCGTGGTACGAACGCTATTTTTCACCACACTATACCCTATTACCACTATTCACCACAATAATAATGTACAATGATAGTCAACACAACTAAAACTTTAAGGTGTGAAGAAATAGTTTGAGGAATCAGAAATAGTTGCTAGGCAGCGGTGACAATAAAACAATCAATTCTATTGCAATCCTATGGATACTGATTGTGTTTTAAGAAAGTAAGCAGGCAGCTGATTTTGCGGCCCTAGGTATGTAAAAACCTGCTCGGTCCCCAAATGACGATGACAACTGGCATGGCCAGCAAAACGTAGCTTTCAGCCACCAATTAACGTATGTAAAACATCATAGTGTGGTGAAAAAAGTCTTGTGTATGCCTACTAAGGGAAAACCGAAATATTTTAGTTCCCTATTTCTTAACTTTTAAAATATGTATAGCAAAAAAATATTCATAAGTACACACGAGTATTGATTTTCTAAAACCCGTCTACTAATTTAATTCTTTAATTGTACTGATTCGATTACATTTATTTAGTTACAAAAATATACTGAGTAAGTACAGTAAGACTTGGTATAAAAAATTTAAATACAAATTTCTATTCAGACTTGCAAAATTCGTCAAAATCGATTATCTATAAGATATGTATTTTAACAAACTTTTAAAATAAGACGAAAAGATAGGACTTAAAAAAAATAAGTAATTGATATTATTTAATGTATGTAAACAAAATTTCAAATTATTAAATTTAGTTTGTTGTGCTGACTTCATGTAAATTCACAAATACGTAAAAAGAACAGCTGTTTAGCTAATTCTCCACAGCTGGCGTTGAGAAAATTCTACTTTGGCTAGCAACAATACTGCATTTGGCAAGCAACGCCTTCAATTGTCCAAAGATAACAGTAAAACTTGGCTGCACTGAAGGTTTTGCACTATAATGAAGGGAACTATCGTAAATTTAAACATTGTATAACTTTATTTCATTATTCTTAAGAAACTATTTAATTAGGTAGTGTAGACAACGATGAAATCGATATAATATGACGGCAAAGGCCAATAGCTTTTGGTAGTAACTGTAATAACTAACTGTTACATAATTTAAGAACAAATGTTATTAATCCGCGATGATTCAAACAATAACAGATTTAATTGTTAATCGTTTAGCTTCAAAACATAGTTTTGAGTCTAGACATGCAATGAGTGATTCACACAGACTAAAGTTCATCAGTAGAACAACATAACAATCTTAATCTTGATTAGTTAGTGACACTGACGATTTGCTTTCAATTCATGGTTTAATGCTGTTCACTAGTTCATTTTGTTTTATTTCAAACTTAATCTGTCTGAGAAAATAGAATGTGCAAATTAAAATAGTTAATATTTAGTGACATTATTTTAACCAAGGTAAGGTGACATATTACTAAACTGTGTGCCTTAAGATCTATATATAAATTTATATTAATCATCAAATATTTAAATGTAGGCTATTAATTTTTATTGTATATGGTGTTAATTAGCATGTAAGCAATGATATACAATTTTAATTAGAAAAATTAATACGGTCCACTTGAAAATATCTCAGAAAACAAATAATATTGCATTTCTAAAATAAAAATACACAAAATCATAATAACGTTTTGTGTCGATTATTGACAGTGTATACTTGAAATGAGATGAAAGTTCTTCTTTTCAACTACAGTATATAATTTTAAATTTAAGTCGGAGTACCAACAATAACCGCTTAAGAGGCTTACAAAATTTAATCTGTATTTAGAAATTCACTTAATTTAAATATTTTAATTTTTTATATATTGACAAACTACTTTTTTACCATAAATTAGTTACCAGGTTATCTTTAGGTTCAAGCTTGAATTTGTCTGCCAATTAAAAAACCCATAATTTCAAAGAAAATATCACCATTGACTATTACCCCTTTCACTTCTTATCACCTGTTCTATTAAAACAAACAGACAGTAAACACAGACAGACAGTAAACAAACAGACTCAATATGCACCGAAGTCTTGCAGTAACTGTGAATTTGAGCAGTACAGCTTAAAAATGTCTCGTAGACATTCACTAATCCTAACTGCTGTTAACTATAGTTTATTTTTCTTCTTTAAAACAATGTAACATCCTACTAAATTCATGTTTGCACAGTATGCCATTTTAGTGACGTGGTTATGACTTGTTTCATTTCTTGATAATTTTGTGACTAAAGTTTACAATGGTTGAAGTGCGTTTTCCGTTCCTGTCTGGAGAAATGAGAACATTCTCAGCAGCCGATTACGCCGTACTGGTAGCTGTGCTGGTTATTTTGACTGCCATCGGACTATACTACAGATACACTGGGGGACGCCAATCTTCTACTGAGGTATGTAATTCGATAATGTGAAGATAGAATAGATGTTTAGAAAATGTTTATTACTTTATTTGAACCTAATGTTCAGTGTGAGTCGCTGACAAAGAACTAACCACTGTAAAATACCGTTTATATTCTCAACTCAACAAGGCATTCTTATTCTTCATATTTATCATGCAAACATAAATAAAGACTTTTTGTCAGCTTAGCGTCTTATGACCTACATCAGCTATACTAGGATGAAACGGCAATGAGAAAATATCCCCGCCGCAGCAAACCTGCAGACTAAGCGAATTTCCACCTGTCTGATTACATTTTTACTAAAATATTTCCATAAATAAGACATATTATTCCCTATTTAAATAACATTAAATTTAACGAGTGCTTAGGTTTGCTGCTACGGGGAAGGTAAAAAGTGTTTTTGACTATTCGTCAATGGTATAGGATGAAATAAATTTGCCTAATGTTATCAATATGTGTCCATAAACGAGTAAAGTACATCAATTTTCATTTTCTCCATAAGAATAACATGGGATTTTTTTTTTCAATGGACCATGGGAACGGGGGTTTATGGGGGTAAAAATGGGGTTTTCTCATTTTTGACCCTAAAAACAAAAGATTTTGAAATTTCTTCCTAAACCATTTTGTAGAGCTTAAAAAATAAATAATTTAGTATATTGAAGCGCTGTTGTATGCCTAACGGTCACAGAGAAAATTAAAAAAAGTGTAATATAAAATTCCTATGTTATTCTTATGGAGGAAATGAAAACTGTTGTAGTTTACTTGTTTATGGATATGTGTTTATTTATTTCATCCTATACTATTGACGTATGGTCAAAAACACTTTTTACCTTTCCCGTAGCAGCAAACCTAAGTACTCGTTAAATCTAATGTTATTAAAATTATGGAATAAATATATGTCTTATTTAAGGAAATATTTTAGTAAAAATGTAATCACACAAGTTGAAATTTGCTTAGTCTGCAGGCCTGCTGCGGCGGGGGTATTTATTTCTATAACCATTGACATAAATTAGAAAAAATTCTACAATGAAGTTTTATATTAAAATTAATATTACTGTACCCTGTTATTAAACCTTTTAACTTGTTAATGCTATTTAATATCATAGAACCAACTTGTGTAATTGAAATAGAGCTGACGAAATTCTTTTATTCCTTTTAAATATGATTACTCATAAGGTTAACATGGAAAACTCCAGAGCCACTGGGGTGGAGCCCGAAAGGACTTTTGAGATAAGAATGCATATGTTAATATGGAATGAAAGCTATCATCACACCAAATTTTAGCCCAATCCGACCAGTATTTTTCGCGTTTACTTTTCACAAACATACATCCAAACTTCCTCATTTATAATATTAGTAGGATAGTAGGATTTTAACAGAATCCGATGGTGGTTTTGGACTGTAGGGACCTCAAACCGAAGAGTACTACGTTAATAGCTTATTCCCTATATGGGTAATTCGCTAAAATGCCTCTTGTTTATGGGAATTTAAAGTCAAGAAAACATTTATTAGACGATTGATTGGCCCCGATTTTCCCATTCAAAATTGATTAATTTTTCCCATATTATTACAGGTGACTAATTACTCAATCGGCAGGACGACAGGAAATGAATATATTGTTTGATTATAAGCCAATCATCGGTCCTAGTAGGTATAGAACACGACTCTCGGCTTTTAAAATAATGTTTATTATTAACCCTGCATTTTGTGAATAACAAACACGCTGGTCAAACAGGGTAGTCATGTTCTAGCTTCTCATAAATCGCTGCGAGAACGTATAAGCAGATACACAGCTTTCTTTGTTAACTAGCGCGGATTTAAATCGTTGAGCTGTCCTTTAGTTTAGCTTTTAACTAATATTTGTTTTTAGTTGAAGATAATTTGTTTATTTGGGCTTACTTCTTTTATAATACGAATAAATAAAGAAACTGCGATGGATTTAGTAGATGTCGAGGCTAGTGACATCTAGCGGAGACTAGACGAACGACGAACTGTTGCGGACCTTCACTCGACAATGACACACCTAGCGGAGATTAGACGAACTATTGCGGACCTTGATCTCGTCCGTCACTCAGTGGACACCATCGATATATACAGGGTGTCCATAAAAAACGTTTCAGGACTTTAGGAAATGAATCCCCATACTAAAAGGAAGAAAAAAGTTTATGGGAAGGTACGTCCGAAAATGCATATTAACCCAGATATCCGCCATTTTGTTTTTTATACAAAAATATTTTTATCTGTGAAGTTTTTTATTCGACGATTATGAAATTTGGTATACATGTTAACATACACAAGACCTATAATAGAAAAAAAAATAAAGTTGTTCCGATTGTAAATTTCAAAATGGCGGCCATTTGAATTTTTCTAACTTAAATAACTCAAGAACGGCTAATTCTATGAAAAAATGTCAAGAATACTTTTTTTAGCATTTTTATTTTCCTATCAAACGATACCAAGATCAAAAAGATCGGACAAAAGATAACTGAAATATAACGTTTTTTGTGTAAAAATAAGGCAAAAATTGAGGGTTCCCCGACTAACTTTGCCTTATTTTTACACAAAAAACGTTATATTTCAGTTATCTTTTGTCTGATCTTTTTGATCTTGGTATCGTTTGATAGGAAATTAAAAATGCTAAAAAAAAGTATTCTTGACATTTTTTCATAGAATTAGCCGTTTTTGAGTTATTTAAGTTAGAAAAATTTAAACAGCCGCCATTTTGAAATTTACAATCGGAACAACTTTATTATTTTTTCTATTATAGGTCTTGTGTATGTTAACATGTATACCAAATTTCATAATCATCGAATAAAAAACTTCATAGATAAAAATATTTTTGTATAAAAAACAAAATGGCGGATATCTGGGTAAATATGCATTTTCGGGCATACCTTCCTATAAACTTTTTTCTTCCTTTTAGTATGGGGATTCATTTCCCAAGTCCTGAAAAGTTTTTTATGGACACCCTGTAAATGGTGGAATCCGACCACCGACGGTGAGCGAGGTGCTTCGGACGTGATGAGAAATTGAACTTAATGAACTTGATTATGACGTCACTTGCCTATCGTATAGTATCATAACGATTGTAAAACTGTCGCGACTCTTGAATGAACTGAATAATTAAGGTTAACATGGGAAACTCCAGAGCCACTGGGGCGGAGCCCGAAAGGACTTTTGAGATAAGAATGCATATTTGTTAATCGGGAATGTGAGCTATTACCACACCAAATTTCAGCCCAATCCGACCAGTATTTTTCGCGTTTACTTGTCACAAACATCCATACATACATACATCCAAACTTTCTCATTTATAATATTAGTAGGATTAGTAGGGTAGATACATTCCATATATGGGAAATTAATAACTAATCCAAAAATGTCGGCCATTTACATTTTTAAAATTAAAATTACTATTACATGGTTGGGCTTTTCAAATTAAAAAACAATAATTTTGAGCAAAAAAAAGGGTGTTTACACTGTTGCTGTCACTATGTTAATTCAAACTTACTTACCCATTAACAGCAACAAGCTACAAAGGTAAGTATTAGCGGGAAACAAGTAAACAGTTTCATATTTTTAAAGTTTCATAAATTTAAAAACGTTTTTTTCTTGATCTAAATTATATCTATATTATATCTCTACCAATATTTTAGGGCATTGCTCCTGGGTAAGAGACATACCTAAATATCATATTTAAATTGTCCGGAAGTCCTTAGTTACTCACACAGCCACCATTTTATTTTTTTCAGTTCTTAATTTGTTTCTAAAGAATGGTTAAACATACGAAATTGAAACTTTGCACAAACATTTATGACAACTAGACAAAGCTACCAAAAAATTATGAAGATTTTTCCAATTCATAAAACAAAATGGCAGCCATTTAAAATTTTGTTTCTTAAATAACTCAAAAACCGTTAATTTTACAAAAATTATACAAGAATAACTTTTTTAAGGCAACTTTAATACAAATCGATTGACACCTTAGTTTTTAAGATTAAATGAGTATTTACTGAGATATGGTGATTTTAGTGATACGTGACCTCTGGTAGTTAGTTAGTAGTTAGTTAGTGGCGGTCACGTATCACTAAAATCACCATATCTCATTTAATACTCATTTAATCTTAAAAACTAAGGTTCACATCTAGTCTGTGAAGGCGATTTCTACAAAACACTACTCCTCCGTTAATAATGGATGGATTTGTACAAACGATGTGTCAAAATTAAGTATTTTTTGTGTACAGACGTCCCGTTTCACCAATTCCTGTAATAAAAGTCCTAGGGCTTTGCCCCGCAGGCCATCAAAATACTAATGTATTTCTTATGATGAAAAGATGTTGTTTACTTAAACAGACGAATAATTTGTATTAATTAGAGCTGTTCATAGTAAACACATGATACACACAAGAGCGTTCGTTTTCAGAGTGAGTTCGTTTTCAGTTTCGATAACTGGAGAGGTAGTACAGGAAAAATACTAAATAAAAATTAAAAATATAGTTCAGGGATGAAACTTTAGTTTTAACTTCGTTTTACCAATAGAAGTCAAGATCCGATGAGTCCCTAAGAGTCCCGATGGGGGAACATGGTTTTTAGGGGGTGGGGAGGGGAAACTTTGAAATAATTCATGCTTCACGATTTGAAGTCATTTAGGAAGTCGTTGTCAAGGTTTGTATACACGGTGAATCGATAGGAACCATATTTAGGTCAATATAACCACCTCCATAAGAGATTTAACATATTGGTACATGTTTTTGTTGTTTTTCTAGGAGAGTAGGGGGAATTTTTAATAATTTACGATTTTGACTTATGACTTGTGTTGGGTGTCGTTTTTAATGGATTTCTACATGCTAAATAGAATGGAACCAGTAATTTGTCGATATAACTACATTATTAACAGATATGGAGTGCTATCTGAAATAAAATAAAAGATTGTACACAAAATTAATTATTTAATATTTAAACATGAAAACTTAAACAATTAATTTAACATCAAGTATTAATTGAATGAGTTTATTTTTACAATAAATTCAATTTTCCTCATTACTGTAGACATATAGTAAAAAAAATCATTGCAACTTAGAATTTTTACCTTTGACTTGCTGCAGGATATGAAACAGTATACAACATTGTACAAACCATATAAAACATACAGTACAGTATATACAAACTTAGTAGGGGCTATGCAAAGGTCCCTTAACCATTTGGGGAGCGAGCTGGTCAAGGGGTTAGAGCACGGGACTTCAGTCCAAGGATGAGGTCCCGGGTTTAAATCCCGCCAAATCACCAATAGATTTTATCTAAGTGATAATGCTGCAACCCCAAGGCTAGCCTAAAGTAATGTGAAAAACAATCCAAGGCTCATGCCTAGCGTCCTAGGACAAATAAAAATCCCTCAACCATCTAGACCTAGCCTGAAATGTGTAAAACGGTTCCAGGGCAGAGCCTTGCCTCATAGAATGTAAGGGTACGACAAAGAAAAAAATTCTTCACTTAGAAATCAGCTGCTTTTAAATTCTTAGTCCAACATGGTCTATCATCTGATTCTCTTCCTTATCAATTGCAGGAGTACCTCCTAGGAGATCGCAGGCAGTCTGTGCTGCCAGTAGCATTATCACTGGCTGCCAGCCACATGTCCGGTATTGCCATCCTCGGAACTCCCGCAGAAGTGTATTTCCGAGGTGCTATCTTCTTTGTGGCAAACCTTTCACTTATTATCGTCATCCCCATCACAGTTCATCTTTTCCTGCCTGTCTTCTTCAAGGTGGGATCCTCTTCAACTTATGAGGTGAGAAAAGTTTATCTAAAATTGTCTTGTGAATCGCTTAATGAGTTCTGGTCAAGTTTGACAGCTGATATATTATAGTGCTCGCATAACAATCAAAAGGTTGCCAGATCAATCTGAGTCGGTAGCTTTTTGATGGCTCAAAGCTGGACTCATCAACTGTTCCTGACTTTAAATAAATTATCCTGACTGGTGAAACAGCGAACATGAAGTACGGTAGTGTTGTCCAAGATGAGAAGCGAGTGAGGAGAGAAAATGGTTCATCTCGAACACCAGAGACAGTGTTAACTGTGAGAATCTTAGTAACAAAGATGCAACGTCTCTCATCCTTCACTCATATTTTGGTTGCATCTAGGTCCCCATCTCAATTGATCATGATAATGATAAAAAATTTTCTGATTCTCTTTTCTTTTTCAACAACACTCCACTCCCTCTCTCTCTTTACAGTACCTGTATCTGAGGTTTGGTGGACGTGTGCGTACTCTAGCCTCTATCACATACCCAGTACAGAGTGTGATGTTCATGGCCGTCGTACTTTACGCTCCGTCTCTTGCGCTGGAGACTCTCTCTGGAATCCCGATCCTCTGGTCTATCATCATCGTCGGTTCTGTCTGCACCTTTTACTCCACCATTGGAGGAATCAAAGCTGTCATAATGACTGATGTCTTCCAGGTAATTACGTAGAATGTAGAACGATATTGAAATAAACGTTAGTAAACTTTTGATGATTCAAAAATATACATTGCTCATATTGAGCCAATAAAACTGTGAACAATGTGGCTTGGAGCTAGAGCCTCTGGGTCCTCTTTAAGTATAATTATTAGCTAATTCTTTCGCTGAAACCTTTCTAAAAAGTTTACCAAGATTCACAGCTCTTGCATACAGTGGTGTTTCTAACAACTTATCAGGGGGGTGGGTTGTTTACCAGGGAATTTGGAGGGTATGAGACACCCCCTTGAAAGTAAGCATGTCCGATATAAAAATCTTGGTATTTTTTTTGCCGTTTTGTGTCTTTCTAAAGTCATTTTAACGTCTAAAACTGTATCAAAAAACCTCAGTTGTGTTTTTATGACAAAGTGTATATGTTTATAATTTATTTTTCCAGGGTATAATGACTTTAACTCTAATTTAGTCAATAGCCCCCCCCCCTTGGAACCCCACTGCTTCTATAGATAAAAAATTCAGGCGTAGGTCCTCAGTGAAAGTGGTGAAAGTCCAATCATCTGTTTTAGAGGTGTCTAAATAGTGTTAAATGCGTGAAACCTATATATAAATAAAAGTTCAATTTGTTGTTCTAGTTTATGTTATCCACTTTGGCTGTATTATCCATAATTTTCTCAGAGTACTTGGATAAAGGAAGCTTCACTAACATTTTGAAAATCGCATCAGAAGGTGGACGGCTAAACTTTTCAAAGTAAGTATAAAACACAAGCTGTTAATAGTGTGAAAACGATTTATTCATTTGTGTTAACAATGCTTAGTCTCGAAAGTGTTTTTCATCCAACCATTTTTAACAAAAGATAACTGTAAATTATTAACCTAAGAGAGACAGCACTTATGAAGTTTATGTACAGAATCGTCGTCAGTGGATGAAATTTCTGACCGATGGACAAAATATATAGTCAATCACCAGCTGGACAGAATAAAAACTTATCTGAACTCAGTTTAGCCAAATACCATTGAGCAAAAGATTCATCCAATTTAAGTGAACCAAAGTATTTTCATGTTTTTTTGTGAGGAACTTGTCAAAACCTTGTTAAAGTTTACTATCTGACATTTGACTAGTTGTTGGAATACACGTAATTAATCAACATCACTAAAAGATGTAAAGGCGACTGCACACTTCATGAACTGGCATTCTTTGAATTTGAAATCAAATAAGCTAGACTACTTGTGTAGCCAAATTAGTATCATTTGATGACTCTTCATTTAAAAAATCTTTAGTTTCAGCCCTTAAACTCTCAAAAGCAAATTCCAGCTTTAACCACTTGTCCATCATAAATATGTTAGTGCAAGGTCATACTGCTCAGTGCTCAGTGCTACAGTTCATGTAGAACTTTGGCATCCAGACATATCTTCCTCACCCCTCGCTTTCTGCCCTCAACATTCTCACCTCCAGCTGCAGGTAATCCTTCAGATCATCCAACTATCTTATTCTCGATCTGCCTCTTCTTCCTCCTGGTCTCCCACTGAATGTTTTCTTAGTGGCAGATAAATCTTGCATATGCCTGCCTAATCTCCTGTACCTATTTTAATTTAAGTGACATGTCGAGTTCCCCATACAACAGTCTCAGCTCTTGGTTTGTGCTAATCTCCAAATCTCCTGCTCCTGTATCCCTCCGTAAATTCTTCTCATTACTTTTCTTTCCCATCTTCTCAACCACTCTGTCTCCTTTAGGGTCATATAGTCTATGTTTCTGAATCATCAACACTATAGTCTTACAAATTTTCATTTGTATTTTAGCTGCTCGGCTAACACTTTAAGATTTGAATCCCCCTTGCAACACAAGCATTGTATTTCTCATTTTTATCACTCGATGTTCAACAGTTTCAGTCTAGACCCAACTGAACGCCACACCTGGTGGTCTCTTCTGATCGGAGGAACATTCACCTACTTGGGCTCCTACGGGATTCATCAAGCTCAGGTCCAAAGATATCTTACCCTCAAAGACTACGAGACAGCCAGGAAGACTGTCTACGTTTCTTGGCTGATAACGTCGGCATTCTCATTCTCACTGTCTTTTGCTGGACTCTGCCTCTACTCAAGATATCATCTGTGTGATCCTCTTGCGTAAGTTGTATTGTAAGTTTGTGTTTTAAAAAGTGCAATTTTTTTGTTTAACTTTTTGTTGCTACTGTGTTGTTGTTTGTCTGTGTGTGGTACATTGACGGTAGTCAGTCAAAATAGTCACTGTATTCAAGTATTCACTAAAATAGCCTCTTTTATGATATTTATTAAGACAGGTTAGTGCTTGTGTCTTGACCACAGTTCTAGGATGATTGGTCAAGTCATAGTATTAAAATACCCCCACCGCAGTAAACCTGCAGACTAAACGAACTACCATTTACCTGGCTGGAATTCCACTAAATTATTCCCTTAAAATTTTCAGATTTAGTTCTTATTTCAAAATCATTAAGTTTAATGAGTACTTAGGTTTGCTGCTACAGGGAAGAAAATAAGGTGCGTTTTTATTGAAAAATTGATAGGTAGCGTAGTATGAAGTAAACAAATTTTCCAAATTTAATTAAAATATGTCTCTAGATCAGCAAGATTACAACAGATTCTAAAATTAGCATACCAATAATTTACAGTCATTACGCTTCATTGCAATAATAATATATACAGTCATTACAAAAATATGCATCAATTTGTCTCTCAATAGAACGTTGTGACGATTGTTTGATAGCTTCATCTTTTCTACCTGACACAGCATTGTGTCTATATCTCGATTAAATTATAGATGAAAAATGTTCCCTTTAAAGAAATAAGCCAAAAAAACCCACAAAAAAGTCTAATCGTTTTACTGTCTATAAAGGGCAGGATCCATAGCCAGTCAAGACCAGCTGGTGCCATTCTTTGTTGTGGATGTACTGGACATGTGGCCGGGCATGTCAGGTCTCGTTATGGCTGGAGTGTTCTCCGCTTCTCTTAGCAGTATCTCCGCAACACTCAACTCTCTAGCTAACATCTCCGTACACGACTTCATCAAGGTAATGTCTTCTTGTTAGATGTAAAAAATCGGAGATGTGTGAATTCCCTTAACCGAATACTGACGGACAGTAATGTAGTCAATCCAAAAAAATGTTACTTCCTTGTCTTCCAAATACCCAAACACTTTGACCCTGCCCCCCCTCCCCCCACAAATACCACAGCCACCTATGACTCTCTGCCCCACCAATCGCCTTATAGTGGTAGCCAATCCATGAAAGTACTCCGCTTAATTATACCGAATGTTTCCTATGTACCTTATTCCAATGTGGCACTCCAGCATCCATAATCGGAATGATGAAATTTTTTATCAGGGCTGTTCATCACTATAACTGCACCAAGTCACCCTTTGCACTGTTTCATACTACATAATTAAGAAGGATGTTAGATTTAAGTTTGAACATTAAATAAAAGATATCGTCAAACCGAATATAGTACCTTTTCAACCCTTTGCTGAACTCTAGAGATTATTTATTTGACTTTGTTTGACACGTTTAAACAAATTTCCTACAGGGAATAAGCTATTGAGTTATTTATGTCTCATGGTAAGACCTAGACCTGATTGGTCGGGACAGATTTTTTAAACCTATACGTTTTTTAAACAAGTTTGAGAACCAACATAATCAGATTATGAGAACACACAGGGTAAACACAACTTTTTCCTATTTTGACTATAAAAAAAAACAATACTTTGCAATCCATCTAAACAACGGCATTTCTAACATTTTACTTACGGACACGGTTGAAACCCTGCAGTCTTATTGTTACGATTTAACATTTACCTGTTGCTGGATAGCATTACTATCCAAAATGATGCTAGATGTTAGATAACTTATTATCTGTATTATCTATTATCAATCTCTCTGTTCCTCTAGCCACTCTACTCCAGTTACACACATGCATCACTGACTGACAGCCAAGTGTTGGTGTTATCTAAGCTACTTGCCTGTGTATGTGGAGGACTCCTGATTGTGATGGCATATCTCGCCCATTTCCTGGCGGGGATACTCCAAGTGGGGCTCACACTGACGGGGCTTGTCGGGGGCCCGATGGTGGCAACATTCACACTGGGCATGTTCGTGCCAGTTGCTAACGAAGCGGTAATATATATATTTTTTTTTAATTGTTGTTCGTGATTCCCAGGAATGTTATTTTTTAGGTTGCTACAGAGGAAACGTTCAATGGTACATCGGTGTCTATCACTAGATGTAGGGCAAAGAACAAAACGTCCCTGTGCCGGTGCGTCCTGTGCGATAGGAATTTCCGCACAGTGCTCAACAGGGCTCTTCCTTGCATGTCAAAAGATTATTTCTTGTAAAACTAAAACATAAAGCTGAAAGCGCACGGTCGTCCCATAATGATATTGATAAGAAAGTTGTCTCTGTACCTTACTTCTCTATGGTATTGCTATTGCTTAGTAAACGGGGACGTACTTTGGATATTTTTTTTAGCGAATGTTGGATGAGTGTAGAATGGAGTAGGATTGGACAGATCTTTTTAATCTGTTTTTGTATCGTATTTCAACCCACATATAATTAAAAGGTGAAGGCGTGTGTGGTGTTTGAGATGTCCTACTTAGCTTTGTTACTGGCTAAAATCATTTTTCAGCCAGGATCATTTATAAAAATCCCAATGATCAAGGACAGCTCGATACCGTTTTTTTTGTTACTAAAACAATATTGGGGGTTTTTAGGTGTAGAACACAAAAATGCTCTCACTTTTTGAAAATTTCTAATTATAAAATTTGAATTTCCCTCTAGGGAGCTTTAGCATCTCTGGTGTCTGGACTGTCTTTGTCTTTATGGCTCAACTTCGGAGGCAAAAGACCTCCTGTTGTAAACCTTCCTAGCTCCATCATCGGATGTTCTAACTCCACACTGTTCACACCACCTAGCTCTCAAACCACATTGTTAAGGTAGGCCAAATAGACTAGTATCTAAACCACGTTTACATGAGACCAGTATAACCTGGCTCTAGTGTATTTTAAGTTAACTGAGTCAGGTAACCTGCTTGCCAACTGGCTTCATGTAAACGTGGCTTTACAGATTTTACACAAAAGCTACCAATTTGTTAGGATCCACACTTTTGACTACAGATTCCGTTATGGAAAAAATGTCTGCTAGCGTTCAACTGTTAACACTTAACTTTAACTAATACTTAAACTTAATACCACTTAATACTTTAACTTTTAACATCAAGAAAAACAAGTGACTTAAGACATTGGTTGACCTCAAACATGAACTAAACCTATATAGTCAAAGGTAGTATTTAAGTATGTTCACAAAACTTAGGTGGTTTAAGGGGAAGGTTTCTTGGGTTCCCCTAACACTATTTTTTAGCTTATTGTATATTATCAGCCTAGCTGTTCGTTCAAAGTTAGGGGAGGTAGAGGGATGGAATATCCCTTCCCCTCAAATTGCCCAAATTCTGTTAACACGTTACCAACCGTCACACTCCTCTGTGTGACAACTATAGTGTAACCTGGTCGCCTGGTAGTGAATGTGTTAAGGGAGTATAAGAAAATGAATGTAACAATAATAAAAGTATGGAGTTTTCAAATTGTATGATATTTTAAAGACATAAATACTGCTTAAAAACTGAGGTAGCGAACTTATTGAACTGCAAATGATGTGCCAGTAGTGTTTATAGAAGAGTGCTCAAATAAAATGCAATTTGGAAAATTATCAATGTTACCCAGCACATTAGCAATAACAATAACAATACAAATCTTTAAGCTTGTAAAATCATCAATGTGAAAGAGCTTTAGGTAAAAAAAAATAAGGTAAAATGCACACACAGTGCTAGCCTTTGTTATTTCCTGCTTTATAGATTTTAAAAAAATGACCGTATACTTGTTTTTTATCACAAACTTGAATTTTAGTCTTTTATTTTTACTTTCCAGACCAGAACAGTATTTCTACGTGCGCCGTTTAAGCTACTGGTGGAATGTTGTTCTTTCAAGTCTGCTATCATTCTTCATGGGACTGATAGTGAGCTTATTGACTGATTACTTACAAAAGAACAACACAGAACAGCTGAAGAAAAATCAACAACGAAGAGAAAACCTTGTTATGTATGGTAAAAATAAAAAAGACGATACTTAGCTCATTTCTCTCAATCGGCTTGTCTATAAACAATGCGGAAGTGTTTTAACATCAGCTGTCACTTTTTAGCTAGTACTACTGGCCTCATTTCTTAGTGTACGTTAAAGCTTGACAGCCATCAATGCAGCTTTTATCTCTTAGCTTTGGATGATTTTAGTGCCAAAGCTGCCATTGCCAGTCTACAGACAAAAAATATCTTGTCTAAAAACAAAAGCCAGTGCTTTTGATCTTACAAGTGTTTTAATGTTTTTATTTTGGCCAGTACCTTTGCCCATCTAATGGAGGGGACAGGCTTTAATGTCAAATTAAAGCCAAACCTTTGCAAAAGACTTAGGAAAACCTTGACCAGGTTTTTAGGACCACAAAGAGTTGTCTTGTAATTTCTCGTTTGGGAGTAGAAAAATCTAATGAATATTTAAAATGGAAACATTTACTCTAATCTAAGTGCTACCATTGACTTCTATTCATCAAGATAGAAGTCTCACCTATATGGACCAGCTGTTAACAACCATCTGTACCAACCAGCTGTAATACAATAAAATTACAGTAGTCGAATGACCCATTCATAGAGTGATAGCCAGCATTTAATTTCTCTCTAGGTATTTCATTTGATGCTATGACCATTGGCTGAAGCATAGCCACCTCTTATACAAGGCCGTAGCATTGGTGTATGACAATGACAATGAAAGGCTATTGCCATGGTTACAAACTTGTAAACATAAACATTGCTCATACGCTCTGTTATAGATTAGTGCAACAGCTGTTTTCAGAATGGCAAACTGCGGAGTTGCCACTTTAATGCCACGGCCTTGTATTAGAGGTAGCTATGGCTATACTAAATGCTATGACATTTCATTACAATAAGTTGCCCTTTCATTTTGGCTAGGTTAAAAAAATATTAAAAAAATAAATAAAAAATTTGTTGTATGCGACAAATGAGCTTTAACTAATTGCATCTATGCAACCAGCTCAGAGTTTATCTACTAAGGGAAGGACTTGGGATAAAGAAAAGTCACATGTTATATACAAAAGTGTAAAAAACACAGTTTATGGAAGCATTTGATATTAAGTACAGTTCAGCACGATGTGGACGAGGGCTGTAATACTGGTGAGTGGAATGGAGCCAAAATGCATCCGTAGTAGAGTGCACCAGATAAACCAGCACCTCAAACTCTGGACTAAAATATGTAACTATGTCTAGCATCTGTGGTTATTACTTATCAGTTTTATAGAATCAAATTGTCTCTATCACAGCCTATGTTGATAATATTTTATATAGTTGTAGTTTACGCAGCAACAATCACGTTAAGTTAGTCTTTACGACACTGCCTTAAAAACTTCTACGAATGTTGTAAAGACTAATAACGAGAGTTGCGTACACTACTTTACCTACGACAGTTTTTTAATTACTAACAATCACTACTCATAATTTCTAAGAGAGGTTATGTTTTTGTTTATAACCTCAATTGACAGTGATGCAATGAATCATTGTACCAGACACTAATTGCACCACTCATCAACAATTAAATTGGTCTAAACAGCTGATAAGTTGGCTTTCAAAGCATACAAGTTTGCTTCTTCTCTTTTAATCCTTGAATCTCAATGGTCCGTTACCCAAGTTGTTAAGTAAAACTATGCTGTTATGTAAGTAAACAATGCTTTTATGTGATGTTTTTCAATTCTAAGAACTGAACTGAAACGGCTACTTTAAAAAAACGGTCATAGGTAAAAGATATACAATCTTATTTGGAAAATATTTCTGAACTGTAAGGAAACCAACTATGGAAGAAAACACAAATAAAACATCAACTTTTGTTACAACATTTTCTACTCTAGATCGTATACTTGGATCATACAGTCGGTATGGATTGCATAGCTAAATTTAACACTGTTCTGCAAAATGTGTCAGAAAATAGCCATTTTTTTATCCGAGTTTTAAACAGGGCACCAAAACGTGTAGTTCTAATTTAACGCATTAATTTGAATAATCTTTACTCTATTCCTCAACCTAAGGGACAGTGGGAGAGGTGACCACAAAGTCAAGTTTCAAAACGCTACATATCATAAGCCAGAATTGTATAAATTATAAATTTTAATAAAAAGTACTTGCAAGTGATAGTAATTTAGATAATATAGCATGAGATGTTCTATTGTGTAAATATAACACCAAATTTGTGATGGGCTATAAAAAAGATGTTATATATTGTTTACCGCAAAACATACTTAGTCACTATGAAAAAGATACTATAAAAGAAAAGAAAGACGCTATAATAGAAAATTAAATACAATTGTCTCACATTTGATTCTTGCACCCAGAAAACTGATAAATAATAATCACAGATATTTCTTAACCTATTACAGGCAATTTGTGCAATAACTACATTATGTATACATAGGCAAGACGCAAGTTTTTATTATATTTTACACTAGTTGAACCAATGAATACAATAACTACAAAAGTACTTATAAAAACTTCTCAAATAGAATTTTTCATCACCGAGAAAAATAACTTACTTTTTTACATAGGAGTTACTACAGGACACTGAATACCAGTTGATTTTAATCTGGTAATCAAAAACTAGTCTTTAAAAAGTGATTAGTCACAAGTCTTATTTCAGTTATTGTACTCATAGGCAACACTCAACACAGACCTTAGCCATTCACAGGACGTATATGTGGCCTAAATAACATTGTATGGATCCAAGATACAGGTATAAGTGTACGAGTATATAAGTATCACAATTTTGTGACATAAAAATCCTTTTGAAATGTAAATGCTCACTAAATTCTCAAATGTAAATGCAATTACATTTTAGGTCAATTGTTAAAGAATGCCACTTTTATGAAATATAGAGAATAATTATTTAGGAACCATTGCATGTATTTACAAAGTAACAAAGTTTAAAACACAGAATTCATTGTCTTTAATGTCTTTTAAAACCGCCGGCGGCCCGACCAAACGCGTGCACGCACCGTGACGGTATCAAAATAAATGTTTAATGTAATGTGTTTTTCTACGTGTGTTCTGTGTTTTATGTTTTAAATTGATGACGAATCTAAGAAGAGAATAACCTGAGGATGTGGCAGTCGCCACGAAACATGTAGTTGTTTATCTACCAACACTAAACGGATATTGTAAGGTAACAATAATAATTTAATTAATTTAAAACACACCAAAGAAGACTAACAAAATCAATTATTTTTTGTAGGCCTATTCTGAAACATATTGACATTTTAAAAGTTTGATCGCTTTTGAAAAAAGTTGCTTATCATTTTTTTTTGTATTACAAGGAATCTAAAACTTGGTTAGTTTTAACTAATTAAATTTTTTTAGACTGACACACCTACTATAAGTAGTACTATAAGTATCGCTATACTATATGGGCAAGATTCCGGAGTCACTTAACTGGCTTTTTACTTAAAAAAAAAAAAATGTTCTAAAGCACATAACAAGGCTCAATCACTCGTTTTGACACCAATTTGAAGCATCAATAACTTGCATGTAATTTAGTCAGCGCCTCTTAATAATTTTTGTGCTAAATTAAATTTTATTGCCCTTATGATATGTAAATTTAAATCACATAACATCAACAGAAGTATTGGACATACACTGAAATACAATAAAAATTCGACCAAGTTTATCAAATTGGCAATAAACTATAACAAACATTCTGTACATTCACTACTTGTGCATTATTCTAAGTACAAAACAGTAAAATGTATAAAAGTATGAAAGAGAACAATTGTTAAATGTGTAAATACTAATGGAGACATGCGTGCACCCAAACTGCACCGATATAAAGTTAACCTCGTTAAATACACCTCTAAAAATAAAGCTCTGCGGATCTAACACTACATTTCATTTACATTGTAACTGTTTGAACAAATAAACAAGGCGCTAAAAAACTGATCTGAATAAAATTAGTAGACATTGAAGAACGTTCTATAAAGTAGTTTTAAATGCAAAACATGTGTTTCAAAAATCACAAAAAGAATTTGTCTAGTAATTTTGGATAAGAAAATCCACCAATCATTCTCTCTGGCAATTTATTTTTTAAGTAGCGTACCTCTATGATTACCTTAATCATGAAGGTAACACAGTTACACTATCAGAACATAGCTTCAAGAGAGTTTTAATTTTAGTTTATGGACCTTTCCTACGCTAAACTAGGGGCCAAGACTGGACTAGTGCGATGTTGCAACATCGAACGTTCACTACTTTTCGACACTAATTAAAATATACTAAACAATATTTTCAAATCAGCTGGTATTATTAGATTTGGCAACACCGCACGGTCCTCATTGGCTCCTTCAAAGTCACGTTTAAATAGGCTCCTCTCTCAACTGCATACACTCGTGGACACAGGTGCAGTCAATACATGTTAGTCAGTTAGCGTAGGAAATATCCATAAACTAAAATAGTCATCCTTTGGAATTATAAACTTAAAAAACACAGAACTCAAGAAAGTACCACTCTTTTAGATTATATTTGAAGAAAACGTCACGAGGCTGTTAAAGACGTTTTTTTTAGGGTAGAAGCGAGCTAGCTTACCTAAGAATATTAGAGTCCAGGGGTTAATTTAACTTATAAAATAAACGGTATTAGTAATCTCACACATAATTTATATCAACAACCCTTATAATAAGCAATGGGAGTTACTATGGAAAAAATCTCAAAAATCGTAATAAATGTTGAACAGTAATTTTTACACCATCGGTTGTACCATATTGTTAAGAGTTGAAAGGACTATAACATACTAAACTTTAACCAAAATTGTTTGAGCCATGCAATAAATTTGACTTTTTCGTTATTTCATGGGATTTTATGTAAAAATCACCATTATAAATCAAAATTAAGAAAAAATAAAAAAACCTGGAGAGATACATAGATTAGTGTTCACATACTAAATATTGTCAAACCTCTGTTTTCGGTTCAGGGAGAAACCCGATATTTCCACTCGAAACAACACAAACATTTAGACAAAAAACAATAAACTGTGTATAGGGGGAGAAAGTAAAAAGTAACAAGAGTGTAAATAAAATCCTGGACTTTCATTTTCCCAGGTAAAATTGCTACACTCTAAACCATTTCAAAATAATAATCTAGTTATTCAGTTACAACTGTCAAATCTTACATCGTTGGATACAATTTTACAGTATATGGACGTTAATAGTTACATACCTAACCAATATCGTATTGTATATTACATCAAGTTAAACAGAACAGTGACTAGATTATGCGGGGGCTAACGTTGCTCTTAGAAGTTTCTCGTTGTTCCTATACATTTTGATTTTGTTCATTGCATCGAACGGTTTCAACTCGACGAAACCTGCAAGTCAACCTAAAATTAACCTTTAACATGTGATAATCTGTTAAACTATACAGTAGAACCTCGATTCGTCAAGTATTCTTTTGACAAAATTTTGATAAATTGTAAATGAGGAGCTTTTTAAAATTTGTTTTAAGACTGTACATAATTAAATATAAGATTTGTAACAAAACTTAAATCAACAACGAAGAATAATATGTATTCCTATGTTTCAAAATAATTTGAAAACTATTCCTACTTTTTTTATTAACTGCAACTTAGGTTAAAAAATAAGATCGTGAAAAATTATATAAAATAACAGAATATGGAAAAATACTATCATAAGAAACATTACAATAAGTTCTAACACAAATAATATCAACAACCAAAACCCTTTAGTAACGTGTTAAAAGTGCAGTTTATACTTCAAGTTTATAATATTTCTTTGAGTTCAGAAGTTACTGCTATTGGACCACAAATGTTAAGTATGACCAGTATGACATTATTTTATAAGACCAAAAAGTAAAATAATAAAATATACAACAAAACAACAGGACAGAACATAGTGTAAGCTACAAACCAAACATTAAAAATAAAAGGTTATTAGCAACCCATATGTATACAGTATTAGTGAAAAACTTAATACAAAACACAAAAAAGTACATTAACACAAAAAAAAACTTAAATACATTATAAATAAAGAACAATACAATAAATTAGATTAAAATGTTTTAGTAAAGAAACTGTTATTGTTCAAGCCTGCTTTTGTTTTTTAGCGTTGAACAAAAACACACGATAAAATCACAAACACACAATATCATAAACTTAAACCACTGGTAACTGTAAAGTTAGTCTACAAACTGAGTTAAAACATACACAATTTCATCAAATAAAGGTAAAAAAACATTTTCACTGGCTCTAAAAGTTTGTTGTAACACCATTTAGATAAAATAAAATGTATTCCGGTGGGTTCAACTAAACACAAACAAAAGTATGACAAAGAAAAAGATTAACACAAATAAAATTGAATCATAATTAACAGAAAAATTATTTTTTATGTTCAAAAGGTTAGTGAAAATGTGTAGATAAAACCTATTTAAAACCCTCATAAAAAAGCTAATTGCAAAATACCTTAAAAACATACATATTTTTGTATAAATTAGCCTTTTGATTGATTTTTCAAAAAGATTTTATATTTTAAATCCATTTTTAACAATGCAGAGTCAGTATTTATAGTAAACCCCTGGTAAACCATAATAAAGGAAGGGAGGCCGTTTCAGACACCCTCTTTATGGTTAAATAATGATAGGAATTTCAAGGCTATTTCAATTCAAAGAGACCTACAAAATACAACAGTTGTTTTTATGTTATTTTAACAAAGGCCAAAATCTACAACTGTATAAAAAAAATATATTTCCTAAAATAATCAACGGTTGTTCTCTGAACTTAAACTTAACAGGCTCTGGCCCAAGCCGAGGCCAACTACCTGTGCCATGACGGACAATTTCCGATGCAGTCAATTGTCTAATTCACTAGATATTTTTACTACGGTTACTGATTTACAGGAAGTGTTTAAAAGGGGTTTTACTAGACCAAAAAATTAAGGATTAATATTTCTCAGAAGACTTACTTTTTCAAATTTTCAAAGGGTCAAAAAACGTTACACCAGTGAAACTTGTACTTTATTGGCTTTGCGGGATGAATTCAACAAAGTGGTTGAAGGTCGCTGGTTCAATTCCAAGCAAGACCGTTTCCAGACCCAAATGTCATTTATCATTGGGCTATGAATTAATGATGCTATCTAACAAAAAGGTCGACGTTAGATAATAACTGGGTTTGGACCGTTCCCTTTCACGTAAAAAATGCCACTGGTGTAGAAAACGCACAAAACACCGTCATATAGCTTTCTAAAAATGTACGAGGCATTTTCTCAAAAGGCTACTTTAGACAGAAACTCCATTACTAAGTCTTACGAAGTTACAAAACAGCTGTTGTGGCGGGTGTCAAACACAACCGTACTCGTACCAGACAGGAGGAGCCCCCGTCTTGGAGTCAGCTGGAGGCGGGGGTTGTTTCTTGGCGTTGTGGTGAGGGCTGTGCGGAGGCGTAGCACACCCCAACACGTTGGTCACCCGGTTGTAAACAACCATGTTGTTTCTGCAATTATTACAAACAATATTTATGTGTAGCAAATTCTTGATCGACCTCCGCAACAGCTAAGACACCATCATCTCCCTTGATTGCTGTGAAGTTATTGCAAAGCTATCGATAAACTGAAGTTTACTTGAAAAATTTACTCATTCCAGGTTTGAACCTTTTATTTTTTTCATAAATAATGAGCATCTATATATTCAAAAACCAACAGTAGGCCTATACTTTACAATAAGAATGTTGAAATCTAAACTCTTTTCCAGTTTGCTTATATTTAAGCTGGGTTTTACTAGGCGCGGAGTCGGCGAGCGGAGAGAGGAACACGGAGAGCGGAATTGAAATTAACATGACATTCCGGCTTCTAGGAAAACAGTAACATTAAATTGCCTAAGACAAGTGGAGTCCGCTCTCCGCGTTCCTCTCTCCGCTCGCCGACTCCGCGCCTAGGAAAACCCGGCTTTAAAAATATTTTGAAATTTTTCAGGACACGAATATGTGAATACTAAATCGATCATAGAAACAGTCTGGAAAGTTTGTATGATCGTAAATTCACGTCACTGCATTTGCGGGAGATTCTATGATTGTTATTGAAATTAAGTCACAAAGTACTGAGACCTTATATTTTGAGGAAGTGAGAATCAGACTTGATTTTAAGGTTAACTAGAAAATTTAATCAAAGCCTTTTTCATGGTTTGACAGCTCACTCTATTTAATTATTTTCACAGTTGAGCGTGTACCCTAATATTATAGCTGAACTTAATTTACTTCAGGTGGTGTGTTTAATAAAACACTCACAATGTTTAGAAACAAAAATTCATGTAAAAAAATCATACAGATTTTTAAAGACAAGTATTACGGTAAGTATCAAATAGTTTACACACCAATACGGATAGAAGAAAAAGAATAAGATCATTTACATTTTACTATTGATTTAAAGTTTAGGTAACACATGTTTTCTTACCCAGTGGTATCGGGCTGTGGGGTGGAAGTGACTGGAGGCTCTCCAATCGAACTTTTGGTCTCCTCACGATCCTGAAATTTATAAATAAGTATTCAAGATGGATCTCAGTACATACATTCAGTGTATTTAGATCAACTGTTATAAGAAAATCGGGATTTTTGGGGACCTCTGCAAGTGGTTGGGATAATTTATGGGTAAAACTATGCAACACTACAATGTAATTTTCTGTCAACTACACAAACACACACAAATCAAATAATAAGGTAAGCCTATTTGATTAAATGTACATTTTCCTTGCTAACCTATTTTACACTTTGTGATGCAATACAATATTAAGATTAAAAGTACTGCACTATAAACATTTAAAAAATAAATGTTAGCACAAGTGTTGCTCAGAAATGTACTCATTACAAAGATGCTCAATGTTTTCATTAACAATAACACAACTGCTAGATGAAATAGATATAGGTGACATAGGACATTCATATAGATATAGAAATAGATATAGGTATAGATATAGGTACTTTGGTATTATACCGACCACACCGATGCGGTAAATCAAATTGAAAATAAGAATTTAATTAGTTTAAATACCAAAATCTTACTAACCAAACCACCCTTAGGTTAGGTTAGGTTATAATTATTAAGGGTGGTCGGTATAATGCCAAAGTAGGCTACCTAAAACTACTCTCAAGAAAATGAGCACCTTGATAACAAAGCTGTTCCCTAATCTTTTTGAGACACTACTTATCTCCACTTCATGTGTTAAAGAAAAAAAAATATGAGTGATAAACCCTATCCTAAAATAAATTCATTGTTACACTTTGGACTTGTTTACACCGCCCCCCGGATTATTGAGGTTCTTTTGTATTGACATTTTAAATCATCTTACGTTTGCAGAGGCTGAGTTATTTTCATCGCCTGAGTAGTAGACAGCTCTACGAGATCCTGGAGTGCCTAGGTTGCTCAATCCATCTAAAAAATATCACCCAATTAACAGAAGTATGTTCATATTGTTACTAAAATATAAATTACGTTGTAAAAGAACTTATTAACAATTCACTTAGCCATTCACTTCCACCTTTGCCAGAAGTCTAAATTTTTCATCAACTAAGAGTGGCTTGTTTAGTTGCAAGCGCAACATTGTCAAAGTTGTAAAGGCGTAATAACATCAGAATAAATAATGTATGACAATTAACTCAACACAAGAAAAGAAAGTAACAAAGATAACATTAGGATTACTAATCAGATGATTGTCAAAGACGATCGAGTAGACATATGGAGTCACTCCCACTCTGTTATGATTATAATCAATATCTCGAATTTGATTGTTTTTGTTGCTAAATTTTTAATCAGTTTTGATTTGATACTTGCTTTTCATGTATTGGAATCTGAATCAAGAATCGATTGCAAGAAATTGGAACCGAGAAAAACTGGATTTCTTATTTGTTGTATCTATGATGAGTTTACCTTGGCGAGTGCGAACTTCCTCAAGACTCGTATCCGAGTCCGTCCCTCTTCCACTTCGAGCCTCTGCTTCGTGCCACGACCGACGACTCTGAAGTAAAAAATATATATATTTCCATTGGAAAGACTAAAAAAACCCATTTATGAGTTTTGAAATTTTTTTGAATAGAATTCTTATTAGCACTCCCCTAAGGCAGTTGCCTTGGACCTATATCGTTCATCGTTTTTGCCTAGGACGCTAAGCACTATCCCCGGATCGTGTTTAACACTTCAGACTACACCTAGGGGTTGCGGCATTATCACTTAGATAAAATTTAATCTGGCAGTGTTTGAACCCGGTAACAAAACTTCTCATCATTTGCTATGTGAAAACAAAAAATTATAAAACAATTAAAGCAATATTTACATTTACATTTAAAGAATTAATAATTAAATAAAAACGCCTTCGCAAAGGAAACGCAACATCAACACACTCCTGTATTGTGGGTATTGCATTGAATGTCTGCAGGCTTTTTTTATTCTCGTCCAAAATAGAATTTAATTTTGTAGAATGAGATTTAAAATTTCCCGAAATTTCGAGATCCGTCCATCCCTACTTTTCAAATTAGCAAGCCTTAACCACAAGCAGCATCCATAAAAGTATTTGTCAGAGAAACGGTACTCTCAGCATTTAATTACAGTCTTCCTCGTTTTTACATGTACACACTTGTAATTTTTTACTGTACAAAGTTACAGGCTACACACTACACCTATGGTCCGATTTGGATAACATTTTCTGTTTGAGTACTTATCCATGATATCTCCAGGTGTTTTTTTCATTTCTCTGAATTTTTTTAATGGTGATTTTTTTTATAAATACTAGTAAAATAACTTCAACAATTTCCTCATAAACATCATCTATACTACCAACCTATAACTATAATTACTCTTCACACCACTAAAATCAAAATTTCCCCATTTTACACCAATTCAACTTGATAAAACAACAAGACAATGTGAATTCCAATAGTTATTACAAAACTAAATAAAAATTCAAAATACTACCTTGCTAATTAACTCAGAACCAGCCTTCCTGACCCTTCTAACAAGGTTGGCACCAAAACTTTTCCTGAAATACGATACAAATCAGTAAGCAGTGGCTGTAAAAGTATGAGAATGTGACCAAGGAATCTATTAAAACAAACAGAGCCACTTTATGAAATAGATTAACTTAAAAACCAAACAACTTTTGGTTCATTGAAGAAAAACCCTATAAAAAGAACCAAAACAATACAACAAACGAAGAAACACATATCGTGTGTTTGTATGAAGGAGTAATTAAACTTTTTTACAAACTGATAAATATAAAAAAATTGTGGTTTTTAAAATCTCTTACTTTTTCGTTGGGCAGCTGTCAAGGCGACGATAGTGCTCCATAATTTTTTCTTCAAGTTTTTCTTTTTGCCGACATAAACTATTCAGTTTATCTCTGTAACAAGAATGAGAAATTTTGATAATTGTTATTGTTAGATATCTTAAAATATCCTTATTATACAGGGTAACGAAAAGATTAAAAGGAAAACCTCAACTATTTTTTGTGACATTAAATTATAGAATCCTGCAATTTCAAAAGAGGCCACCATTTTCCAATATGGCGACTAACTTTTTATCGGAGGTTTCTACAGACCAGGTCAGCACGTGACCTAAGCTTGTAGACCTAAACCTGAGGGCTCACACTTTTTCTGGCATTCAACAACTTTATGACCTAGACTACATTCCGGTTAAAGGCCAAGTGGAGCCTTTCCTAACACGGGCAAAGGCAAAAAGTGTTTTCCGCACCTTCAGAAGTGCCTGGGCAGTAGATGCAATTGGTTATCACATTCTTGTCCATACTGAACAGGTACAATCGAAAATAGCAGATAAACCCAAGATTGGACTTGCTGAATCAGACGCCTTGTCCTGCGTCCCTACACCTGTTCCCAGTACTCGGTCAGAGCCTGTAGATGCGGGTGCACTATTCTGTTCTTCCTTGTCCTCCTACACTACTCTGCTGATAAATTGCCTTCCTCTCCGCCACCAACATTTTTGCAGGGACCTCAGCGACCACCAGGAAAGTGGGTTAAGACACTGTCCAGTAGGCAGACGTTAACCTGAGGGCTGCTGAACGCCACACAAACAAAAGCAACAAGGTGATAAGTAACTCTACTGACCTAAACAGTTTTTCCTCGGTATGGTAGTGTTCTTTGTCCTCCAGTGAGTGAGTCAGCAGCTCGTGATACTGGCTCAGCAACAGACTTACGTGTTCCATCAGAGATCGTCTGTCTTCCTCCAGCCCCATCTTCACCTGGTTTAGAATCTGGCAACAGATTTCACACGTTCACATCTCAAATTCAAATTTTATTTATAGCATGTACAAAACATACAATAAATAGTGTCAAGCTTATAGTTACTATGTACAAATACTTAACTTAAACAAAAAAAAATACAGAAAATTAAACTATCTATAGCCGTATACATTCATGAATAATAGTGTAGATGACCGATCTCCTTTAATGCATCTCGAAACCGAAACTTAATAAATTGAATCTCGAATCTCAAAATCTGAATGCAAAACTTTTTGACTTTCCTGATTAACACGTTCACTGCTAATGACGCACTTGTGCGTCATAAGTATATTAGCAGATATATAATACATGATGTATATAATTACATAATATATTTTAATCCACAATTTATAGTATAAAATTTATTTAATTAAAGATATATTGTCACTCAATTAACATGATCATGTTAATGTTTATGTTTTTTAGCCATTTATAAAAGTATTACATATCATTAGCAGTGAATGTGTTAAGGTCAAAATACACCTAACAATAAAATGTTTACTATGCAATAACAAGTGGAAGAAATTCTGACCCTGACATAGTGACATAAATATGTGAAATTTTAAACATAATTTTTGATGAACAACAATTTTAAAATAATTTTGATTCTTATCACTAACATAAAAAACTTAAAAAATTTATTTAGTATTTATTTTTCAAAGAATAATTTGCAAAATCAAATTAAATTTAGCCAAGCAAACTCCTTCTTTTAATGCTACTACTTAAAAACCTGTGATGACTTCATTTGTTTACAATAAAAATCTTAAATAGCCTAAATTCAACTTTTTGTTGACGTTTTGAATCATAAAATTCACTGATCATATCTCAATACTAAAACCTTTCCAAATTTTTAGTGGTTTTGAGATTTTAGATTAGGTTTTGTTACAAATCTTCATTGATTATATCAGATCTTCATTGATTATATCAGATCTTCATTGATTATATCAGATCTTCATTGATTATATCAGATCTTCATTGATTATATCAGATCTTCATTGATTATATCAGATTTAATTCACATATTTACCACTCCTACTGATATTCATCTAAGGGTGATGGTCACTTACTTCGCACTGGCTAGACAGTTTTGACAGCTGCACCTCTATGGACGTGATGTGGTCGTTGCGGGACGCCAGTTCACCCTGCAGTTCCGTAACGTTCAGCCTCAGTCTACACGTCTCTGCTCGCACGACCTTGTACTCCTCCTGCAGCCCTCGATAATCACTCTTCACCTTCTCACTGGCCGTGAACAAATTGCGAAAATCATCCTGCAATACATGTTTTCAGATTAAAAATCACATTTGGAAATTTATCACTAACGGCATCATAAAGTAAAATAAATCTTTGTTTCGTCAAATAGTACAGCAAAATTACAATAATATGTATGTCGTTAGATATATATTTTAAATCTTAGTGTACTGTAAAAGTTACTCAACATCACTTTGTCTTTGAAACCCTAATCTCTAACTACTGACCTTGAGTTTTGAGTGCTCTGCGCGCAAATTGTTGAGTGAACGGCTCTCCTCGCGCAGAGTGTCACGTTCACTGCGCAGAGACTCGATGCTGGTGCTAAGGATGTCATAGTTGTCTTTCAGTTGCCTCTGCTCAGCTCGTAAATCTCGATAGCTCACCTAGTAAAACCATATGGTTATTATGGTTATGGTTATTTATGTGGTTATAGGGGTACTTGTAGGCATTAAGAAATGTCATTTGAAATGTTTCGGTTTAGGCTCAATCCACGAGTTATACCAGCATTCTTCAAATCTAGTTTAAACTGACTGTGAGTTAAGCTCTAAGAAAACAACAGATTTTCATTTCCCAAATTCTTCCTTGGATTTAAATGGGTTTAACTTAAACCACCGGGAGAGGTAATTTAACTGGCGATCTATGGCTTATTTATGAATTCCTGAAAGGAATTCAGGTTAATGAGAAGGCTTGTATCTCTCACCTTGAGTTCTTCTTTCTCCTTGACCAATCCATCATATTCAGTGGTGAGTTGTTCATGCAGCTTCTGCAAAGTCAGCTGATCCACCAACATCTGCTGATGCTCGTTCTGTAGGTCGCTGTGGTTCTTCAACACCTGTTTAGTGCAGAAACAAGACTTAATCTTAGTTACAAATTTAAAACAACAGTCATATTGAAAAAAACAATTATTTTGTGGAAAGACGTTCATGATTTTACAATGACTGCGGAAGATGTTCACGATTTCGTTGTGACTGTGATGTTCACAATTTCGCAAAGATCGCTGAAAATTTTCTAGATTTTGCCTTAAGCATATATGATATTCACAATTTCACTGTGATATGGAAGAGTTCATACACAATATTGTGTATAAACCAATTGCATTATTACAATTAATAGTGTTCAAAATCATTTCTTTCCAAGGCAGCCTGATTTTTCCCCGATCCCTCGAATCCTCATGGCCAAAATTTATGACCCAGCCCAACCCTAAGTAAAAAAGTCTGACCTGCAGTCCCTTAACCAATACCATGACTGACATGTAGCCTTACCTCGTCTTTCTCAGCCACCAACTGAGAGTTGGCCAGTTGTAGAGCAGTCAGTTGCGAGGTCATAGACATGATCTGAGACTGCAAGGTCGCTACATCCACCTCCAGCTTAGCGTTCTGCTCAGCCAGTCCGTGGACTGTGTCATCTCCGTCTGCCAGTCGCTGCTTCACCAGCTTCAGGACTTCAGGACTGGACAAGATTCTGTAGGATTGCACACAGATATGGTAAATATTAAGAAAAAAGATTATATCCAGGTTTTAAGCATTTAAAACTAAAAACTTAAATGAATGTTGCTAATTCAAGGCAATATGTTGAAAGAATTTTTCATTAATCGATTGTATTCCATCAAATAATTTAGGTAATAATAGTCGTTTATATACCTGATTCTGACAATCTAATAATTGTATTCTACTACTAGTTCTGACCTGCTAAGAGGTCTTCATCAGGTGTGTACAAGGATGATTAGGTACTTCACATGAATTAGGATTAAAAGTTGTCGACTCATATGAATAAATGAATTTATTTCCCATATCACAAAACATTTTACAATCATAATAATTGTTGAGAAATTTAAACTGGCCACTTACCAATTACACTATACATACACAAAACGCATAGCACGCACACAAATATGGGCATGGCCGATAAAATGACACATTAAACACGACGAGCAGACCGGTGTCGTGTTTATTGCTTCATTTCATCCGTGGTATGCGTGTGTTTTGAGTATGTATATGTATCAAAAACTTTTAATCCTGACGACCTTCATGTGATTGTGAAGTAATCATCCATGTATGCAACTGATGATGACCAGCAGGTCGAAACTAGTTGTGGAATACAACAATTTGATTGCCAGAATTAGATATTTAAACCACTATTATTAGTTATTCTTCGCAATCCGGAGGCTACTCACAATGAAATTGTACAAAAAAATTGGTTACGCCACATTGACGTATTTTACATTGACACAATTTATGTCACGGACGTTCTTACTTGTCTAAAGCGTTGTCCATATCCATGAGATGGTCAACAGGCAGCCCCAACTTGTCCAGGCTGCTCTTGAGCTGCTGTGTGTTTAGTTTCTCTGCCACTAGATCGCTCTGTAGAGCGGACAGCGTAGCTTGGTCCATCGCGCAGCGACGCTCCAGCTCTTGCATGTCTCGTTCCACCTCCTGTAATCTGCAAGGCCGAGATGTAAGATTAGATTAGATTTACACAGTATCCACACGTAGTGCACATTTCGATATGAATACTGACTGCGGAACCGTCCTACGCACGCGGATCAAGTGATTAACATCATGGTCAGCGTAGGGGGTTGGGGGGTTAAAAATATTTTTTAACAAGTTACAGTGAAAATATCTAACTGAGTTATCATTTGAATATGCTTTTGTCTCCTACAAACTACAATTTTAAATGATTGTGGAAAGCCAACATACTTGCTTTCCATTTTTTTTTTTTTTTAATTGATTTGGTAAATAACATTTTTTAGTCTAGTTAAATAGTAAAAAACTATTGAATTTTCTACTGTTGAATACTGTAACTAAAGTGCATGATCAATGTAGATAGCAATGAAGTTTTTTAGTTTATGTATAGTAAAACAATTCAAACGTTATTATTTATTACCATTCAAAAACTGTCTATGTAGCTTTGTAGCATGCAACTAATGTTATGTTGTCATTATCTAAACATGTTGTATTATGTTCAAAAATGCATGTCTGTTAGGTCAGTCTATGTTACGTTAGGTTTACATATTCTCTTGTAAAAATAATTTGTATGTTGAAATTTGTATAGGTGCATCTTTGTTGTGAATTCAATCACTAAACTTTGAAAGTTTTCTGAGCTAATTTTGTTGCTTATCATATTCAAAAACAAGTGCACCATCTAGGTAGTGTTTTTAACCAAAAAACTACTGAGTAATTTGACATTATTTAATTAAAAACAGTTCAAATGTGTGGACATGTGACTTTGAGAACATATCTAAGTGCATTTGAATATAAACATAGCAAATGTATTGCTGCACTTGAGAAAATTGATTACACTAAGTTAAATTGAGACCAACGAAACTGTACTTAATGCAAACTACATAAAGTTACATTGACAATTTAATAAATCTAATTTGTACATTAATTTACCCTAATTTTATTTGTCAATTTACTTAAAGTGGAAAAAACCTAGTCCAGTATACTTACAAAGGTAAATTTTAACCTCAAAAATTAAATCATAAAAAATATAGTACCACAAACTGTTAAGCAAATTAAAGAAATTTTTTAAAGAAAACTTGTATTACCTACTGAACTAATAGGAAGAATTTTAGTAAAAAACTGAATATAAACAAGCTCACTCACAATAGTTGGCCTGCTACCCTGTAAAACATTGTGACAATAAGCAGAGCACTAAGGGTGAAGGGGATGTCAATGGAGATATGGAGATAAGGGGAAAGTGTCTCTACTATGGAATGTGGAATGTGGGTTGGGACATTTTAGCCTGAGGGCTACAGGTCTGAACAGTTATTATACATACTAAAATCAACTTAAAAGTCTGGTTCAATAATAATAAATTATTTTTATTTTTTTAATGCCAATATAACAAAGATCTATCCATATAAAAAGGACCAACAAATTAAAGTTAATACAAAGCAGTATATGTTTTTATAATTTTTTTCAAAATGTCATAATAGAGTACTTAGGGGTTGGGATGGACAATTGGACAGGTCTCCAAATTTAAAAAAAAATTGGGCCCATTTCCGAGAATTTTAAATAATAAGACAAATTTTTATGCCAGCATTACTACCACCCCTCTAGACACACTTTGAAAGCCGTCGAATTCCTGTCACCATTACAGTTCTATTATTTTTTATTTAAACTTAATTATGCCACCTAATATTTTTCACATAGTTATCTCACAATTTGTTCTTGTAACTCCATTTTCACCTCATCATATCTTCTGTTATTTATTTATTTAGTTTTTGTATTTGATAAAATAATGTTATGTTTGGACTCGCTGCCCTTTTGGCTTATTCCTTATAAACATGCACGCTTTGTTAAACATAGATGTAATGCAAAGGTTAATTTTATTTTATTCTTTTAAATTCACGTAAGTTTTTTTTTTGTAAATACTTTGTTGGAATAAAGATATAATTCATTCATTCATACCACTCAATTATCCGGGCATATAAAGACTGGATCTCATAAATCTAAAATTTCCAAAAGGGGCTTAGTGGAAAGTATTTCATAAATACTTTGTATTATGCTTTCTACAATTCGGTAGTAAACCAATTGTTTTACTGTATTTTTTTCTAGAATAGTGTTTCAATGATACATTTTAAAAAACTGGATTCTTTCCTCTTCGTGTTTCCCAGATGAAATCAAATAACTTATTGAGCCTATATATAATACTTGACAATAGTCCAGGGAAAAGTGGTATCGTAGCTGTAGACGTGTTGTCATAGCCCTAACTGTGCAGAATGGGAGTAATTACAGCTGGTTGGTCAAGTCTCCACTTACCTCGCTACTTGAGAGTTAATTTCTTCTAGTTTTTTCGCCAGATGTAATTTTTCTTTTAGGTTTTTCTCTGCTTCCATTGTTACTTCATCCAACGTGACTGATTTGGCCTGCAAATACAAAATTATTAGTGATGTTGCATGAGGCACATGAATAAAACTGATATTTGTATGCAAATTACAAATAGGAATTTCGGAACAAAGATATTGGATTTATTGTATAATGATTCATATAATGTACTATATTTTGTTACTCTTAGTTACATGATGCCATCTACATTGATGGTGATACTTAACTGACCTGTCCTTGACATAATTTAAGTACTGTGGTTCTAACACTCTCCATATCGGACTTCAATTTTTAGCCAGTTTTTTTTATTTAAAAAAATTCTGTTCAGGAAGTAGATTGGTAACTTGTATTTATTTACACATTCCCAACTATAGTATAATGAATGGTAGTAGATAGCTTACCTTACAAGAAGTACAGTTAGGCCCTAGAATGCACAGAAGACACAAATACACAATATTTCATTCCCCAGGAGAGTTTTGTAATTTTGTAGACAAATGGGTATTTTTAAGTGTAGACTTTTCTTTTAGTCTACACTTGAAAAATTCCCTCAACCAAAATCTCACCTCCAATGCTTCTTTGAGCTTGTTGATGTCCCGCTCCATGGCCGCAGCCTTGTTGCTACTGTCTTGTTGCTCCTGTACACGTTCGGCCGTCGCCCGCGCAGACTCCAGGCTGGACTCTAGCTCCAGCACTCGACGTTCTAGTCTCTGTTTCTCCCTCTGCAGCGACTCTGCCTCCTCACTCCGTATCTGGAAACGACACATGGATCTGATACATATGATAAAGAAGTATTGATGACATTTATAAATGTCATCAATGTCATAAATGTTCCTTTGCGAAGGCGTTCTTATTTAATTAATTCTTTAAATGTAAATATTACTTTAATAACATTTGAGAAGTTTTGTTAAGTGTAAGCAGTGTGAGGAATGTTTTATTACTATAAAAAGTTAAAACAAGTAACTATTTTATGCAAATTAATATTGCTTTTATTTTATGATTTATTTTATTTTAGGATAAGTTGAACTCTAGCCTAACTGATATCACTATGTTTCCTAATCGTAGGCATTTTTAATAAGTTAGGCGTGATTAGTAAAAAAATGTTATGCTGATGTTTTTTAATAAAAGATTGTAAACATTCTTGCCTATTATCATTATTTTTGTATTTAAACAGTCATCTAACAATGTTACAAAATCAGGTAAAAACTCTGAACGTGCATTCCCCGTTGTGTATGAGAAGGGAAATCCCATCTCGATCTTGTCTCGTAATTTTATGAGAAATAAAAAATCTCGTCTCGTCTCGTCTCGAACTAAAAATCCAATCTCGTCCATCCCTAGATAAAACAAAAGTTGAGATAAGACTTACAAAGGAATAACTAAATTACAAAACTCCAAGGTCGAAATCAACTCACCTCGAGTTGCAGCTGCACAGAGTCCCTCAGTTCTTGCATCTTCTTTGTGTCTCTTTGTGCGTTCTTCACAGTGTTTTCCAGTTCAGAGTTTTGCTGCTGCAGTTTCTTTTTTGTTCCCTCCAGATCTTCGACCTAGACAATTATTTTTTTATGAATTTCCAATGAGTATCTCCAACCACAATAACGCATGTATGTGTTTTTGAACTCTGGAGACATCAAAATGTTTCTGTGTCGCCATGGTTATAGCTTCTTCAATATAGGGAAATTCTAAAACCTATAGAACAAGTAACCAAACAAGATATCAATCAAATTAGATTATAAAGGCTAGAGAATTTTAAGACACAAGTTTTACTTTTATGTTCATGACAAAAAAAAAGATCTGCCTGATAATAGCAAAATGCCTCACTATTTAATTTAATATAAATTAACACTGATTGTGGCTTGACTAATGGCATTAAACAATTTTATATGTTAAAATCAGCATTAACTGATATTTTCAACCAACACATGGATACATTTCAACTAGTTTGTGAAAGATTTGTATAAAATTAAGACAGTAAGAGCTTTACGAATAAAAGATTTGAAGGACTCCTCTGAGCAAAACCAACTTTTTCAAAACCACGGTTTGAGTAGAAGCAGATCACAGTGGAACAAAAATGTTACTATCTTTAAATATCTAAAAAAAATTTTTTAACGAATTATGATCCTGTGTCATGTTACTGCATTACTTACCGTTAGTGACAACTTCTTCTTCTCCTTTTCCAAATCCAGTATGGTCTCGCTGGTCTGTTTGAACGCAGCTTCTTGGAGGCTTTCCACGGTCTGTGCTAGTCTGCGGTTCTCCAGCTCTAGTCGCAGAGCCCGAGCAGTCGCGTTGCTTGTCAGCTGCTCTGACAGGCTGTTATCGCCCGACCCTGTACATAAATACAGAATGTCCAGTAAGTAAAATGGCGAACTCCAAAAAGTTGTCCTACAGGTCAAAATTAAGAGAAAATCATAAATGACATTTTTGTAAATCTTTGTATTTTTTCATATCAGTAATTTTGCAACTATGCATGTAGGTTATGTTAAAATATAACAGACCTACCTATATTAGGGAAGTTGCAGCTTGGTCTAATTGGTCTACTCAATTTAAATTTTACTGGACATCAAATTTGAAGACCATTTTGATTCTAATCTAAATACAATCAAATGTTGTACCATCTGTGTTTCTGTTTACAAATTGATTTTTAAAATGGTTAATAAACTAGCATCATTAACCCTTTCCACTCAAATTATTGACCCCTTGTTGTCTCATATGCTTGCATTTAATTTCAGGCAAAACACATGTTTTGGGTTTTTTGTACGTATACTGTCTAAAATAAATTATTCCTTGTACTTCAGTGTAAAATTGTACTGTACTGGTTTGCAGTGGTAGGAGCAAAACTATGTATAGGGTTATTTAAATGGAAAAGAAAATCATTTGTCAACAATATCGGCAGCTGGGTAAAATGGTCTTACCCGTGTCTGTGTCTTCATCAAGATGGTCGGAGTCATGGACGGTGTTGTTGACAGAACGACTCAACAATGAAAGTTCTGCGTTTTCCTCAAACATCTGCTGCAGCTTCTCATTGTTAGCATCTCTTTCCTGATTGCCAAAACATCAAGAAACAAATATAAGAAACAAAACAATAAAATTGAAAAAATGTAAATTCGTACAGTTTAAAAGAAAGTATTTTTTAAGAATACATTTTGCGGTCAGGTGGTCACCACACATCTTCTCAGCATAATGGTCAAGCATTAAGATTTGTATATAGAAATAAAATCCAATCTTTATGGACAGCTGTTGCTAATTTTTATATCATAAAAACATAGTCAAATGAACCAGTCACAGAATGCGCTAGGTAGTGTCTGAAATTCTCTATATTTTTACCGAGAGAGTTAATGGGTCATAACAGTTGCTCTAGCTTGCAATGAGTCGCTCTATCAGTTTGACTTGGTTTAGAAGTTTTAATTTTTGACAGAAAGCTTTAATTTATTTCAGTACTACGTCAGTGGTTCAACAACTCAGATGGTCAGTTTTTTTTTAATTATTTAAAGAGGTTTGCGGCTTTTTTATCCTTGCATTTGCTTCTCCAGATAGGCTATGGACCTTTGCGTGGAACGCATCCAGCAAAGCAAGGGGTAAACCGGTACAGTACATTGGTGAACTGTACTGATAAAAAGTATTGGCAGTGACCAGGATCCGAACCCACCATGCTGCCTTGGGCCTGACGTCCAAGACACTACAGACTGACCGACTCACCTAATTGTTACAGATTGCGCCAGTGTCTAAAATTCTTTTACCTTATTTTTACCTGAGATAGTTGAAGTGTCATACAAAATGCTACAGCTTACAACGTACAATTTTATCAGTTTGACTTGGTAAAAAAAATCGGCATATTATGATTAGAGGTAAATCAGTAATTTACATTAGCGTAATATATCAATACACGTCTAGTTGTATCAATATTTCTCACCAGTATAAGATCGTTGATTGTTTGCTTGTACTGCAGCACACTAGCCTCTAGCTGCACCAGGTGGTCGCCTCGCTTGCGGGCTCGTGCCAACTGTTCCTCCAACATCTCCCGCGTCTCCTCCAAGACACGGTTGTCCTGACGCAACTCCTCCACCCGGCTGCGGTAAAACTCCAGGTCGCTCAGCTTATCTCTGTATTTGGTCACCTGTATCACAACATCGGTTAGAAGTACAGTATACAAGGGTGTTATTTAAAGTTCATTATAGCGAAGGTCACTGACTTAATTTTAAGGTGGAAAAGTTGATTAAAATCCATGTTTTAGCCCCTGAGCTGTAATGTACTAAAAATAGGCTTTACCTTCGTCAATCCAGCTCAAATAGTGTAATTGCGTTGGTTAAGTCAATTTCAGCATTACAATGCTATTGTCAGACAACAAAATCTCGGCTGATGATGCTACTTCAGCCGAGATTTTGTTGTCTGACGATGGCATTGTAATGGCGAAACGCCAATAACCAACGCAGTTACACTTTTTGAGCTGGATTGATGAAGGTAAAGCCTATTTTTAGAAAGGTTGGACTTTTCCTATTACTAGTGTTTTCAACCACATTATGTTATGGTTTTGGGAGGCAAGGAAACTGCTCCTGTTTTCAAGTGCGTACATCCTAACACTACATTTAGCAAACTAATTGTGATGGACTCTTCCACACTGTAACATTAAATACTAGTTAAATATGCTTGGTTCAAGTGCAAAGTGCTAAACAGTGCCAAGTTTCCGGGACTTCATTACGGACATCTGGGTTTCCTTTTAGGGTGCGTGCTTGGTTTTACTTTCACTCTCAACCGTTATATTGCCTTGGCTGAGGTTTACGGTTTCGGAGATCTTGAGCATCTGGTTTATCATGCAGATGTTACCTGGATGGTGTTAGTGCATGACAAACCATATGCTCTAGATCGCCATCTCTGCCATTTTATGGCCAACATTGGACCACTCATTTTAATGGGGAGAGTTCTGTTTTGTCGTTTTCTGTTTTTCTGTGAAAGGTAATATCTCGTGACAAACAGAGGTTATACAAACAATACATGTAGTACAGACATTAAATCAACAAACCTCAGCTTCGAGCCTATCGCACCTCTCGGCTTTCTCCCGTAGAGAGTCCAGTTCATCCCTGTAAGCCTTTGTTGCCCTAGCCTGTTGTTTTAGATCTTGCATCTGGAAATGGAATAATATTATAATTTGATTAACACCATTAAAGTTCAAACATTTAATATATAATAATATTATAACTATAACTTGATTAACACCATTTAAGTTCAAACATTTTAATATAGGCCTATAAATTACCTACCCATTAAGTTCTTCAAATTTAAGAAGGTTTTTACTTCCTCCCCCTACACATAGTATATGGAGTTTTTTTTTTCAAAATGTTGGAGTTAGAGTTATGGATTTTAATATACGTTTTGGGTCCCCCTGTACCAATTAAGTGGTTTTCATGTGTGTGTGAAGTGAAATGAGCTTTTCTGTTTCAAGGCCCTTCTTAGACTTTTGCTTTCGATCCAAGCAATGATATCACTGATGTCAGAGCCTTAGTGAAGAACCTCTACACATACTTATAAAGGAAATAAGTGTTTGACTTATGAAATTAGTTCTTTAGTTTTGATATGATTTGTTACTAAAGGAAATTAACATTTGAAACCCCCACAAGATTTCAAGATTAACTAATAATACAGTAAAAGCAACCTTACCTCTGATTTTAACTTTGTTACTTGAGCTCGAGAATGTTCCAATTCTTCTTTCATTTCTGCAAGTGCTTCGGATTTTTCCTCTCTAAAAATACAAGGTGAATAGAATTTTGATTATCAAAGGATTAGGACGATTCAATGGACATAGTAGGCTAAACTGTGTAGGTACTCGTAAGACTAATACTTGTAATATGAACACTCTTATTATTTTTAAATTTAAATAATACATACAGATTTACGTAGATTAAGTTATACAAGTATGTAATTTGTCATATACCAGTGGGCCTATATGAAACCATTTTACAAAAAGAATTATGAGCGATGCTTGGTCACTTAAAAATTCTGCGGAGTCTTGAAAACTAATAAAATATGAATTATTGCAAATTTACAATTGATCACAGTTTTTCTCTTCATTAGTTTCAATATCTATAAGTTGATAAATTTATTATTTCAATCAGAATCACCATGAAATAGGATATTTGAAGGTGTGTTACCAGTTATGTGGTTAGCATCTTAAACTTTATTGTGAAAAGGACGAGTTTTAGTACTCAGAATTCACAAACACATTTCAGGGATTTAAACCGATTTCTCAAAGGTTATTGGTCCCTCTCACAAAATACCGGTCAATATTGTGAAAAAAAATTAAAAGTTTACATTTATTACCACTATTACATAACCTCTAACACACAGAAGTTATTCACGTGGTAGGGATTATAGTACTACCTCTATTAACGGAAACTTTTAGAACCAAAATACCAATTAACCAAAACGGCAACAAAAATCATTTTACAGCTACGGTAGCATGCAGCGCTGGTGCTAAACATTCTAGCCGCTACGTACTACATGACGATAGAGAAAGCTCAACATGGCGGTTAGCGAACCAGAGAGAAGGGTGAATAATTCGCTACCCCATCCCTCCCCTCCGCTAAACCATCATTAGTGTGATTCCGACTGTGCTCACGTCAAGTTGTCGTTTTGTTTTGCCTATTCAATTAGTGTTGCATTGTTTACAGTTGCAGTCATGTTTAGTTGTTACAGGTGTTAAAAACTGAAGATTTCAGTTATCTGAAATTACTTTGCCCCTTTATTTTGGATAAGAGAAGTTCCACAATAAAATAAAACCCATTTTGTATGATTTTTGGTAATGATAGGTGGATTTGAAAAGACTTGGCAGGTGTCAAACACTCACAGTTCTTGTCTTTGTTTCCTCAGTCTCGCCTTCCAATCGGCCAACTCCACAGCCAAGTGTTGCGATTCTCCTCTCTCCCTCTCTCCCGTTGGAGCCATAACTGTGGGGGTCAACGTCCCACATTTGCGCTCCTCCTGCCCCGCCCAGTACTGCAACAGTAAACATTCAATACCCAGGGGCATAAATAAGAAAGCCTTCAATTTTGTGGTTTCTAATTCTACTTGTACTATATATCTTCCATACAGGTGTTCATAATTTTGCTATGAGCCCGGGAGATATTCTAGGTTTTATTTATTTATTTATTCCAACGGGAAACCCATTACATTGAAACATTACCAATAAATAACAATAAAATAACAATACATAACAAGAAATAACAATACAAATCCAAGCAAGATGTGATATAAATACTACAATAATTACAACAACAGCAGCAACGTAACTAACACAATAGTTTTAACGTAATCTCGGAAGATGTTGACGATTTACAGGACAGGAGAAGACGTTCACAATTTAGCAGTGACTGCAGAAGACGTTTCTCAATTTCACGAAGACAGCAGAAAATGATCTCGATGCATGGGAGTTCATGCACAATATGTATAGAGCGATTGCTGTATGAGAATTACTTTTTTTAATTTTTCAAATCAACACAATTTTGGTCCGAGATCAGAGGGCTTAATTTCCAACCAGACCCAAAATAAAACAGTCTAACCTGCAGTGCCATGCTAACTCTTACCAAATTATCAATTATCAATTATCAATTATTTAAGATGGGGACGCCACTATGTGCGTATTTTAACCCAAATATCCTGAGATTGTGAAAGTAATTCTACTAACACAAAGGAGCTAAATCTCAGACATTTAAAACTAAAAATTGGGTTAAACCAAACAAAATATTCAAGAAATGTTTTTTTTATCTTTTACAATTTTGTTTCCTAATAATTGTAGGCCTATATTCATGGAATAAACTCTCGTTCCACAATATTTTTAATCCACTCAAACCATAATTAAGTAGTAGGCTAAATTATTTTATAATTAAGTGTGTTCAGCAACTTAAATTTTACCCACAAACCTGTAAATATCTGTCCCTTTGCTTGATAAGATGTCTCACATGGCAGATGAGAAGATCGTTAGAGAGAGAATCAAAGTTGTCAGGGGTCAAAACAATCTGTTGGCTCTCTGTAACCTATGAAAAATGAAAAATGGTATACCGTAGTCAAAATTGAAACGGTTTGGAATGTGAAAAAATTACAATAACACAGTTTATTATACTAAGTTTTTAACTAAGTTGGAGGGGCATTCTTTAACATAGACAGTGTTTCTGGAGTAAATTAGAGGAAACCATAGGTTTTAGTAACGGCTGCTACTCCACAGGATATATTTAAATAATAATAATGCAATAACCATTTCATGGTTTCTTTTTAATATACATTTCTTACATAATTAAGTTACCAAAGAGCTATAATATGGTATAAGTCTCAGTTTAGACATTCATTTAAGTCTATGGCCCTCTTTCTCTACACTTGAAAAAGTCCCCAAGGAGGAATCTACAGCCAATTGAGCTTTTAAACAAATCATGTCCTGCATGAAGAAGTTGTAAGTAACCTACATATATGTACTTACCTTTGTCTTGAATGCGTTAAAATACGTTATAGGCTATTAAACTGCGGTAGTGGTTTGTTTTTTGCGGCTAATTCCTTCATTTGTTTTAAATTTTATTTCTTGCCAGAGACGAATTCAGATTATTGACAATCCGGGATTTTTGACGGCAATTTTTAGACATTCTGTAGGCCTATGTTTCACCTGTTTGATACAGTGTACGAGGCCATGTTGAGCGTCCACATGCAACGTCTTGATGCCTTCTATGAAGTTCTGTTTGTTGGGACATTGTACAGCACAGCCCAGCAACAGCAACAACAACAACTGAAGATCCTCCAGCCCCTCCTTAGTCTTGAGGTCTCTTCCCAGCCTCACGCAGTCTGGGAGGTTTACGATCAGCTGACACAACTCTTCCTGTTAACATCAGAAGAAAGATTTAACAACATATTGTCGCTGGATCTAGTTTTTACCCATGTAAAGTTTGTTTGATAAACCCAAGGATGATTAAAATATAAATTTGAGACAAAAAGAGGTAGTTTGAAATTATCAAGTTAAAAAATTCCTAAAATTGGGAAATAGACCTAAGAATTAGGCCTACTTTTTAGAGTCATGAAATAAAAATATTATCTGGGAGAACCCTAAACCATAAGTTAAGATGGTTTTACCCGGTTAATTCAAGATGGTGGCTAAACATGCCTCTACGGTACAAGCTCTCAACTCTCTAAAACGAATTTGTTTCCATTGATTGTGTGCTTTTTGTGCTCTTAACATATCAGAGCATGCAATGGATGGGGATAAATTAATGTTTAACTATTATAGCAGCTAAAATCACATGTGAAAAAGACTAATTTACGGATCTTCAAAATTATTTTGTAAATACTTAAAGAAATAATTACGAAGTTTCAGTTCAACCAAGTATAGTTTGGATCTATGTGAATACTTTACTTTCACAGTTTATTTCAACTTAATAAACACTAAAATAATGCCATGAGGTTCTTTTTTAGGACCATGTTTACGTGGTAACTAGCCATCGGGTGGATCCTCTTAAAACATATCAAATCATTCTTTATTCTTTAAACACAAAGAACATGTGTTGAATAGTCAAATATCATGTCTACCTCATAGAGTGTCTTGATGTTTTTGATGATACAGTCGAAATTACGTACTCGGATGGCTGCATTACCGAGACTAGGGAGGACTCCATGATGTAAAGGTTCAGGATCGCTGAAAGAAACATGTACAGGTATTCAGAGTTAGGATAAAGGGGGGAACTTGTCATAAACATTTTTAAGCCACATCTCCATTATGGCGCTAGCGGCCACTGCAAAGCAAAGTTTGGCTGAATGACATGAATGTCGCCACTTCTTCCAAACCGCATTGGCCGTCTTTATGCTTTTTGTAAGTTCAAACCCTGGTCTCGTTGCTATGCTAGCTATCTTTAACCTTTTTTTGAACCTACGCTAGTACAATTTTTTAATTAGGGCCTATGGTATAAATTTTTTCCATCGTGTTTTGGAATAAGGCCTGCTACTAATTATATAATTGGGTTGTGAAATAAATTAAAGGCAATTAAGTTGTATTATTGGGAAATTTTGGACCTGTAACTGTTTATCTAGTAGGTAGCCTACCTTTTTTTAGCCAGGTGTTTGGGGTAGCCTAAAGTAACTCATTCAGATAAAATGAGTTCCAACAATTAGGGTGCTGTACTACTAAAAATAATCACACATAATGATAAATCAATACAAATGAAACCACTTGAATAGTGTATTTTGGCTAACTTACATCAGTAAAAGAACTTCATGTATAACTGTTCCGTCAGCGAGGTCGTCAAAATCAGTGATTCTGTCTGGGTTGTCAAGACAAGATTGCAACTGAAACATTAACATTTTCTGGTTGTAAGTTCCGCTATATTAAAGCCAGTCTGACTTTAATTTGAGAGGCTAACTTACCTGACCAGAGGGTATAAGAAGACAATGGCAAGAGAATGGCCCTTCCAACCCTACAAGTATATCCAAAAAGACCAAACCTTACTTATACTCTGCTTATAAATGGATACCAATGTAATAGTTCTAAAGTTCTAAAGTGAAAGGTTCAGTGAGTGATGCCAATCAGTTGTTAAATGTGCTAATCCCACCAGCAAAAAAGTGTGAATTTTCTAAGGTAACTTGCACTGAAGTTCGTAAAATTGTAATGTCTTTAAAAAGCACCAATAGCAAAGATGTTTATGGTTTAAGTAGTAGCTTAGTTAAGTCTATAATAGATTGTATTTTGGAACCTTTAACTTTTTGTATAAATTGTTGTCTAAATGAAGGTATTTTTCCGAGCCCACTAAAATTATCAAGAGTTGTTCCAATTTATAAGAAAGGTCCAGTGGCATGTCCAAGTAGCTATAGGCCGATTTCTTGTGTACCTATTTTCTCAAAGATTTTGGAAAAGGTTTTGAAAGTCCAAATATGTGCTCATTTTGAATCATCAAACCTATTCAGTAACAGTCAGTTTGGTTATCGATCTGGTCAATCAACGGTAAAAGCCATAGATACTCTAGTTAGTGAGGTAATTTCTGCTCTGGAAATGGGATCTTTAGCTCAGATCACCTTATGTGATCTGAGCAAAGCATTTGATTGTGTTAATCATGACATTTTAATAGATAAACTTAGATTTTATGGTTTTTATAACAGAGAGCTTGCAATATTAAAGTCATATTTGCTGGACCGCAAACAGATAGTAGAAGTGGATGGCATACGTTCTGATGTTGCTTGTGTGAACCAAGGTGTGCCACAAGGCTCAGTATTAGGGCCTATTCTATTTTTAGTTTTAATTGTAACGAGTTATTTTTCCTAGGGGGGTATATTTTTGCTATTTGGCCGCGCACCGATTGTTGAGGTGAGCGAGCGGCGGCAGCAAGGCTAGCAAGCGCCCTTTGACCCGGCTTATCAGTGCCGATAAGCCTGGGATATCCTAGATCTTCAGGACAGTATAGGACGGACATTCTAGTGGTGGATCTCGTAGAGTGAGGATAGTGTTGGTGTCCTGTGCCTGTGGAGACGGCTGGCGTACGTTGGAGGTACAGAGTGTACGAGGTGTGACAGTTGGTGTTAAGTTGGGTGTTAAGACCCACTGCTGGTGAGTGGACGACGTTCTTTGATTTTGGTTGAAAGCTGATATTATTAGTTTGAATATATTAATATCTGATTTTATTGCGAGAGTTAGAGTTGTAACCGTGCTGGTCAAAGCCTGACGGTAGTTAGGATTCATATTAGTCAGGAATAATATTTAAGTGTATTCCTGACGGTTCTGGGCAGGTGCTAGAGCGCAAATAATATAATTTAATTGACTGTAGTAGTTATTATTTTGCGTTGTACCTAGAGTTAGTTATATTACTAATAACTCTGAGGCCCGACAAACCTAGGCTGCACGATTTAGCGTGCGTAGTTGGAAACACGTGGCCAGTAGGCTAGTAGCTAATATTATTAGCCTATTAACAGAAGCCCAGCTAAGTAACATAAAGTTGGTAGTAGCAGTAACAGTAGTAGGGTTGTTATTGATTAATCATTTGATTATTTTAATTTAACCTGAACAGCTTGTTTGGTAATCCAACACGTTATCTTGGTAGCTTGGATAGCGGAGTACCGGCTATCAGATAATACATTTATCTAGTGTTTGGAACGTATTTAATATTTATTTATCTACTACTAAGTAGCTCAATAATTTAATAGTAGTGTAATTGCCATTTAGCTTTGCTTGTTTGGCTTGGTATTTGTTGAGACCAGCTACTAGTGGTGTAGTCACTCTACCTATAGTGTACTTGTATATTATTATGTGGTACGATTATTGAGTGAACTGTTTGATTGTTAGCTTGGGCATTAGAGTTGTGTATTGGATTATAGTGGCCTAGTAGACCCCGCCTGGTGATAACACGCGTTGTGGTTTTTATTGGCAAGTCGTCGTGTAACTCACCGTGTTTTAGGCACTCTGGGCTTAACTATTGGATAGTTAGGACGAAGCCCGAGTTGCGTAGTCAGCAACGACCCCCTAGGAGTGTGGAGAATCGGCGTAGGCCTGGTAGTGATTATTGCACGTTTGTTTTGGTGACTTGTTTTTTACTTGTTCACAGTGCCCGTGTATGAGCCAGTCCTATACCGGTTAGACCCGGCTTTTGGCCTAGTGGTTCCCCTGACCTTGTCGCAGACCCTGGAACTTTACCCAGCCATTGTAGGCTGAGCTACCCCGGCAAACGGTTGCGACTGACTGCACTTTTAATTTTTTTTTTCCTGTGCAGAAAGGCAGCGTCGCAAGATGGCGCCTGCGAACAGGGACAGAGGTTGGCAGTGGTGCTGAGTTGCTGACGTATTAACGGCGCCCGAACAAAATAATTTTATTTGTGCAGATTTGCTGTGGACTTGTGCAGATTGGCTGCGGACCTGAGCTTTTGAGCAGAGTTTTAGGCAGACCTGCTGTGATTTTATAGTCGGTTGGGTAGGCCTAACCTGTTTTCTGTTACAGCGTGGTGTGTTGTGAACCCTAATTTATTTAGTGGTTGTATACATAGATATTAGTTAGTAATTTTAATTTTGCCAATTAATTGAGCTTTAGTGTTGAATATTATTTGAGTGAGAACCCTCATTGTGTATTTGTGGTTTGACTTTCACACCTATAATTGGTTTGATATATTATAACGGTGTTAAATACATTTTAATTGGTTTCGATCTTATTTTTGCGGATTTGTCGTGGTATTTGGATTTTAAATATGGTTGTGACTACGAGCACGACGTCTGTGCTAGGCGGTACGCCTATCACGTCTGCTATTGTTACAACTAGTTCTGGGGTTAGCTCCGAACTGTCGGTGATGACGACGTCGTCATTGTGGCCTGCGTCTTCGCCTGTTTGGCCGACTATTTCATCGGTCGTGGGTACGACGGTGACAACATCTCTGACCTATTCCGCGCCAGCGACTATGTCCTTGGGGTCGCAGCCCCGGGACGGTCGCGTGGGTTGGATCTATGACCTCTCGAAAGGGGAGCTCATGAGGACAATGGACCAGTATGGTTTGGTGACCACTGGGACTTCTGCGGAATTACGGCAGAGATTTTCATCATTTTGGAAGCAGCGGAATGCCCGTCGGTACAGCGATGATAGGCTGTGTACGGCTGGGGCTGCTGCACCGACATATGTACCGCCGGCTACTACAACCATAGGGCATCCAGACCCGCCGAGAACCGTACCTCAGGTACTGGTTAGTACTGAATCGGACCAAACAGAGATATTCAGGCTTAGCGGGGAGTTAGAGGCGGTCAAAGAGATTCTTGGGTTGTCTTTGGAGACTGATACCCGGACTCTTCGAGAATATCTGGCATCGGTGGTGCGACAGGCGAGAGGCTCGCCGAGTGATGGGGTCGGCTATGGGTTCGGAAGACCCGCCAACCCTACGTTCCCTGTTGTGGTTGCTCCCTTGCCTACCTTTGGGTTACCTAGTAGACCCGAGGGATGGCAGCGGCCCGATGATAGTTCTGAGAGACCAGCCCGGCCTTCTAGCTTGGAGCTGCCACGAGGCTCGGGTATACTCTCGAATGAGGCCAGCAGGGTGGAGCCGAAGAATTGCTCCAAGATATGTGACATGGTCCGAAAGTGGGGTTTGAAGTTTGATGGACGTAGAGACCCTGTGTCATTCCTGGAGCGTCTTGAAGAGCTGATGGTCTCGTACTCTATATCGTCGGAGGACCTGCTCAGAGCGCTACCGGAGCTGCTGCAAGGTTCAGCACTTCTTTGGTACAGGAACTGCAAGGAGCTCCTGTATTCTTTTGAAGCTTTTCGGCATCAATTTGAGATCCAGTTCCTTCCACCTGGTTATCAGAGGAATTTGGATGAGGAGATCCGGAAAAGGACGCAGGGTGAGACCGAACGCTTCCGGGACTACGTTGTTGCCATAAGTACCTTGCTTAGGCGTAGCGGTACTTTGTCGGAGCATGGTAGATTAGACTTAATCTACAGCAACATGCGTCCAGAATACAAACTCATGGTACGCCGGCGTGATTTCAGCAACCTGGCCGAGTTGGTGGAGTTGGCTGAAGACTATGAGGCCTATCTGCGAGAGAAGGCAGCCTTCCGGCCTCCACCTTCACCCAACGTAGCGCTGGTTTTGGAAACCGCCTACGTTCCCAGGAAGAAAGCTGAGAAGAATCTTGAGACTGTCACGTTCGAAAGAGGTAGTTTTGAGAGACCGTCTCCTGAAGCCAAGTCAGTTGGGCAGCGGGTTGGTTCATACTCGATCGAGGCTCGTGTAGGAAGGCCCGCAATGACAAGGAAAGTGGCTTGTGGTGTACGGTGCTTTAGGTGCCAGGAGACTGGTCACTTTGCCAAAGAATGTGGCAAGCCAAGGACCGTCTCCTGTTATGGATGTGGCAATCCCGGCATGACGGTGAATCAGTGTGGATGTCGTGCGGGAAACGGCAGGCCAGCTCAGACATCAGGAGGTCAACTGAGCGAGGCCACCGAAAACGAACGACCTCAGATGAGTGGTCCGAGTGGCTCGGAAAACTAAACAGCCTGGTTGGTGGAGTAGACGAGGACCGGCTAACTTTGGACTCTAGGCCCTTCGTTGAAGTTGTGCTGATGGGCAACGTTTTTGTGGCGTTACTGGACACTGGGTCAGTCGTCAACTTGGTTGGGCGAGGAGTCGCCGAACATCTTCAACGCCTGGGGATAGAGCCTTGTAAGAAAACCACTCCTCTGAGGATGGCAGATGGGACACAGTCAACGGCCGAGTATTCGTTTCGGCTAGCAGGAGAAGCTGCGGGAAGACGGTGGATAGGAGATGCCTTGTATGTCCCCACTCTCACCACGGACATGATTCTGGGTATGGATGTCATCCGAGACCTCGGATTGGTGACATGTGGGACAGAGGTAGTAAGAATGGGCGTGGGTGATGACTGTTCTGGCCAAGGTGGCCACATAGACAGTGTCAAAATTGGTGACGAAGACCCCGAAGGCCCTTGCAATGGAAATCCCCGTCTGGTTCCTGATGCCAAATCTTTCAGTATCATGTTGGCTGGTAGTGGCTAGTAGAAGAGTTTTTCTTTGTTTTGAGTTTGAGACCTGTGGTGTAGGGTTCACCATTGGGTTCGGGGTTGGAGTATTTTGTTTTGGCCGAAGTTCAAAGATTTTTTTTCTTTTTGGCCGTTTTCTTTTTTTTTCATCCCGATGTAAGTGGGGGATGTAACGAGTTATTTTTCCTAGGGGGGTATATTTTTGCTATTTGGCCGCGCACCGATTGTTGAGGTGAGCGAGCGGCGGCAGCAAGGCTAGCAAGCGCCCTTTGACCCGGCTTATCAGTGCCGATAAGCCTGGGATATCCTAGATCTTCAGGACAGTATAGGACGGACATTCTAGTGGTGGATCTCGTAGAGTGAGGATAGTGTTGGTGTCCTGTGCCTGTGGAGACGGCTGGCGTACGTTGGAGGTACAGAGTGTACGAGGTGTGACAGTTGGTGTTAAGTTGGGTGTTAAGACCCACTGCTGGTGAGTGGACGACGTTCTTTGATTTTGGTTGAAAGCTGATATTATTAGTTTGAATATATTAATATCTGATTTTATTGCGAGAGTTAGAGTTGTAACCGTGCTGGTCAAAGCCTGACGGTAGTTAGGATTCATATTAGTCAGGAATAATATTTAAGTGTATTCCTGACGGTTCTGGGCAGGTGCTAGAGCGCAAATAATATAATTTAATTGACTGTAGTAGTTATTATTTTGCGTTGTACCTAGAGTTAGTTATATTACTAATAACTCTGAGGCCCGACAAACCTAGGCTGCACGATTTAGCGTGCGTAGTTGGAAACACGTGGCCAGTAGGCTAGTAGCTAATATTATTAGCCTATTAACAGAAGCCCAGCTAAGTAACATAAAGTTGGTAGTAGCAGTAACAGTAGTAGGGTTGTTATTGATTAATCATTTGATTATTTTAATTTAACCTGAACAGCTTGTTTGGTAATCCAACACGTTATCTTGGTAGCTTGGATAGCGGAGTACCGGCTATCAGATAATACATTTATCTAGTGTTTGGAACGTATTTAATATTTATTTATCTACTACTAAGTAGCTCAATAATTTAATAGTAGTGTAATTGCCATTTAGCTTTGCTTGTTTGGCTTGGTATTTGTTGAGACCAGCTACTAGTGGTGTAGTCACTCTACCTATAGTGTACTTGTATATTATTATGTGGTACGATTATTGAGTGAACTGTTTGATTGTTAGCTTGGGCATTAGAGTTGTGTATTGGATTATAGTGGCCTAGTAGACCCCGCCTGGTGATAACACGCGTTGTGGTTTTTATTGGCAAGTCGTCGTGTAACTCACCGTGTTTTAGGCACTCTGGGCTTAACTATTGGATAGTTAGGACGAAGCCCGAGTTGCGTAGTCAGCAACGACCCCCTAGGAGTGTGGAGAATCGGCGTAGGCCTGGTAGTGATTATTGCACGTTTGTTTTGGTGACTTGTTTTTTACTTGTTCACAGTGCCCGTGTATGAGCCAGTCCTATACCGGTTAGACCCGGCTTTTGGCCTAGTGGTTCCCCTGACCTTGTCGCAGACCCTGGAACTTTACCCAGCCATTGTAGGCTGAGCTACCCCGGCAAACGGTTGCGACTGACTGCACTTTTAATATTTTTTTCCAGTGCAGAAAGTAGCGTCGCATAATGAATGACTTGCCTGATAACTTAACTTGTAAGACTATTATTTATGCAGATGACACTACATTACTAAATGTTAATGATGCCAATTTAGAACTTAAACATGTGGTAACTACCTCAATTACTGATACTGTCAATTGGTTTAATTCAAATAGCTTGTATTTAAATGAAAGTAAAACATGTAATTTGCAAATTTCTTTTAGGGATGTAGATTTAGAAAACTGTTCACCTGTTAAGTTACTAGGTATTACTATTGATAGTAGGCTCTCTTGGAAAGTTCATATTGAAAATGTATGTAAACAATTGTCCAGAGTAATTTACCTTCTGATAAACCTAAAAAAACTTGTATCAGATAAGTACTTAAAAATGTCATATTATGCCTTTTTTGAAAGTTTGCTTAGGTATGGTCTTATAGTGTGGGGTAATGGTGTTGGAATCGAACATGTTCTTTTAGTACAGAAAAAAGCTATCCGAATTTTATCAGGTGCAGATAGCCTAGATCACTGTAGACCATTATTTTTACAAACTGGGATTCTGACAGTGATAAATTTATACATCTATGAGGTTCTGATTTTGATAAAAAAGAATGTTAATTTATTGGTCAAAAGAAATGAAATTCATAAACACAACACTAGAAATAAATGCAAACTGGAAATTCCAAAAAATAGGTTAAGTCTAACTAATAACTATCATAACTCATTGGGAATCAAATTGTTCAACAAACTGCCCTTGGAACTTCAAAGTATTTCTGACAATGCATTTAACAGTAAATTATATGTTTGGCTTCAAAGTAGGCCATTATACCACATCAATGAATTTTTTGATTTAGATATAAGAGGCTGTGATTTTTAAATTAGGTAGAGATTATTATTTATGACTCTTGTGTATTATGACTACTTATTGTTTAAACTTGACGAAGTCTATTGTAATTATAGTGTAATTACTGAATGACCAATAAATCTATTCTATTCTATTCTATTCTATAATATTTTTAAATGTAGGCCTACCGGTAGTAAATCGTTAGGCCTGAAATTTATTTTTTATGTTTTTGTCCCTTGCAAATCAGCTGACTTCAAGCCTCAAAGGCTGTTCAAATTACTCCTGAGATTTATCACTTTGTTTGTGGATGGCTGATTTGTTGTTTGTATTGTTCTAGACTTACGACATTTCTCGTAATTCAGTTAGATTGTCTTTCATTAATGAGAAGGAGTGGGGGTGGCCCTAACAAAATCTTGTTTCTTTTTAACTGGTTTCCTGCTTTTGTCAGCACAGTACCATAGGTGACTGCTTTTTGGCTATAGTAGAACTATACGCCTCCCAACACGACACACAGTTTTGCCATTCTGTTTTACTGCCATTGGTTGGACCGGAATTCAAATTATTCTACACACTTAAATACATTGTAAAACGCTAGCCTACCTAATAGGCCTAAAAGTGCAATAAACTGTCATTTGCCTAAACAAACAATTTGCATTGTCTTAAATTATTGTTTTTTTAAGTGCTTTAAACAATTTGTATGTGGAAGAAATTTTTAATAAATAGGTACTCAGGTATGTTGACAGATAATTTTTTTCTTGTTTATATCTTATTATTAGCCCTGTATAATATTTATAAATGGTTTAAAAAAAAGGGTTACCGTAGGGCGACCCGCGGCTCTCCAAAGATACCTTCATATCTCAAAAACTATTTAAGATAAAATATTGAGACTTATTGCAACTGGTAGACTAGACCCTAGGCTTGTTCACAACAGCCCCCACATATGCCTAGTGTTGTAAATAACAGAGTTATTAAGAGTGTTCACATTAGCCCCTTTTAGCGGGGCTAATGTGAACAGTGGTTTTTAATTTTTTTTTTAATAATGGTTACATTTATGGTTTTTGTTAGTAAATAAATAGATTCAGCTAAAAGAGCTGTATACACTACTATTTTTTCTTTTCTTCTGTCATTTACCATTTTTGAGTTAATGTCAAAAGTTTACTTTTTTTGTTCATATTAGCCCCGGTTGACCCTACCTAACTGTTTTTTGAAAGGACCAATATATCGAGAAACTACAGCAAATGTTTTGAAGAATACTGAAGCAAGTTGTAGGTTAATTTAGGAACAAAACTCACCCAAGTGACGAGGGGACCTTGAAGAAAGTCCTCCAATTCACTAGGTGAAGCCATAGTCATGTCAGAGAAGCTTTTTTTTGGTCAAAGTTTTCAATTTTTGAATCATGCTGTAACAAAATAAAATTATAAGCCTATGAGTTTTAAGTTAACCTTAAAAACTAATTTCTTAACTTAAACAAAGTTAAAAGTTTTATAAAGGGTTAAGTTAAGCTAATCAAACCACGTAATCCCAAACTCAATAGCAATAAACTTACAGCCAATAACATAGCCTACAGTAACTAACTTAATTACTTAGCCTTATGAGAGTAAAAAAAAAAAAACTGGACATCAAAATAGTCTTCCAAGAAATAGAATGCTATGTTGGCAACACCACAACTTTAACTTCTTTTTTAACAGTTTCGTCTCCAGGTTCTTAATTTTTTCAGGCAGTCTATTACTTAAACATCTTACAAGCCAGTGGTGGGAAACTGTCCTTTTACTTTAGAGTAGGCCTACGGCATTTGGGAATAGAGAGCAGGTTGTTGTTTCTTAAATTGTGACCGTGAAAATTCTCTCTTGTTTAGGATTAGAGGAGGGAGCTCAATAGGTTTATGTAGTTTCCATAAACTGTCAGGATGCCAAGCTCTTGAAACAAAGATTTTCAGTGTTGCCTAGGATTAGGTCTGAAAACAATTTGTCAACAATCGATCTCAGACTGATGAAATCATATATAAAAAACTGTTATTTTAAATTGGAAACAAGAAGAGCCAAGTTAGGCTAAGCCTCATAGCCTACTTTTGAAAACTGCCCTAGTTAGAAGTTAAGTTAGTCTGTGAGTTGTGTTAACTAAATTCTTATAGGCTAGGTGAATATAGGCCTAACTGAATAAGTTCCTATTTCCATGAGTCGAGCATAGGCCTAGGCTAATCAGTGGACACATTTAAGCTAACTTACCAGTAACTTATTTGTTACAGAATTAATTGTCAAGTCAGTCGAAATAAGTTTTAATTGACAGTGTGCGTGTACCAGTGGTTCTTGGGTTCTTAACTCAAGGTAAAATTGTGTTTAAAACTATCTTGGCAAAATATCTTAACTCATTTTTCAATTTATATGGTCTCATGTTCACTGGCATAACTAATATAAAACCTGAGCTAAATACTTATAAAAGTAATAGGCCTATTAATTCAGAAATTAAAATTTGTCTAGGTATAGCCTACTTACTCTTGGAACCAATTGTAGGTTACCTATCTCTAATTTATTAAAACTTGTGCACTAAAGTAGCATTCACAAAATGAAAGGTTATTTCAGAATAGTTGCCGAATCTCACATCGTCAGGTACAGATCTTTATAGCAACCCATTCATTAAAACGAACAGAGAAACGTTTTCTCAAAATTAAGAAAAGACCAATCTTCATTAATTTATATGACAGAAAGTCAGAAAGAAAACACGGCCTACCTCACAGGCTTTTGTTTTCACTAAATCAGACTTTTACTTCTGCTTCTGGGTTCTGGCTGGATCTAGTCTACTGGGTGCAAACATTTAGTACTGTATAGCCATTGATTATTATAAATAGGTGAAATGTATAATAGCATAGATATGTTTTATCTATGATAATAGTCAATGCAATTTTTTTAAAGACTGCTGATCACTGCGGGGAGCCGGGGAGCTTGTTGAACAACTTCCAAGAAAAAGCGGGGAAACGGCGATGTGTTCCCGTGAGGTGGAATCTAAGAATGTCGATTTTGTTTCTGCTACGCGTATTATAGCATTATAGCTATCAACATCTACCCTGGTCTCAGTACAAGGGAGAATATATACTGCCCAATAACAGTACGCACCTTTAGCATTCCAAATATTAGCTTACAACGTTCCAAAGGAGCGCTAGATGTTATTGCTCTCAAGGCAGATTTTTGTAGCCTGAGTATAGGTACTTCATCGACCCCTGAAGCATGGCCCCAGAGAAGCCGTAAGTAACGTGGCCATATGGAACAGTTATCGTGGTATATGTTTATAAGAAAGGCTTTCACTTAAGCTACTCTTTAGTCTACGCAGCAGAAAGACAACTCTAAATAGCTTTTTGCATGTTTCATCAATTTGAGGTTGCCAACTTAATTTCCTGTCTATGGTGAAGCCCAAAAGTTTAACTTGTTGGGGTTGGTGGCGTTGTGATACGGCCAAATTTTGACTTAAACTGCAGACAATCTGTTGTGTTTTATCAGCATTACTGTATGGCTTGAAATTTGTTGTTTCTAAAAACCACATCTCTGCTTATCTCTGCTAAAGCAAGGCCAGCACACAGCAGCTGCCCCCTCCCTGATTCCGTCCAAGTTCGCTCCTCCCCTAAATCAGTGTGGTGTCGTCTGCGTAAAAAAGAGCTTCCTCCTCACCACTAAAGTCGTTCATCATTACTCATTAGGAGAAAGAACAGTGGGCCTAGAATTGATCCTTGGGGGACTCCATGTTTGTCAAATAGTTCACCAGAGGAAGCAACCCTAACCACAACAACCTCTGTTTCCTACCTCTCAAGTACGACTTTAAGGTCTCCAGTAAGGCACCAGTTGCTCTAACATTGCAAGCTTTCTTAAAAGGACATCATGTGAGACAATGTCGAAAGCCTTACTCAGATCTAGGAGTGTCAGACTAATCGACTCTTGGTTCTCGAAAGCCGATCGGATATCCTTTTGGCAATCAGAAGCAAGGCAGTTGAAGTCAAGCGGCCCCTCCTAAAACCATGCTGAGAATCCGAGAAGAGTTAATTCTCATTCTGGTCGAGATGTTCAACCAGTTGATCATACATGACGCTTTCAAAAACCTAGATATCACAGTAAGAATAGCAATTGAACGATGATGGAGGCCCTGTCACCTTTCTTAATTACCTTTCTTATATACTGGCACAACTATTGCGGTCATGAGCCAGACAGGTATTAATAACCAGGGTTAAGGGGTCAACAATATCACCAATCACACGCAAAATGGGTTTAGTTGTAAAATTTGAATCTAAAAGTGTTTATTTGAGATGTATAACTTAGCAAACATTAAAAAAAATCTGAACAGTCAACACCTTAAATTACTGATTTTTTCCTAAATTTATTTTGGTAAACTCATTATCCAAGTTCATATGTATAGGGTAGGGTTACATCACTTTCTGTACACATATGATCATTAGGCCTAAATGATTTTAATGACCTGTAAGCTACCTATTTTAGAAACTTTAACACTTTTTCACTGTACAAAAGTTCTTTGCCGCCCTCTTTTAAAACTCACTGCTACTTGGCTTTTTGCTTATCTCGCAGAAAAAGGGTGTGATAATTAAACTTGTAAATAAAATCGTAAGTTAAACATGGCAGTAGCTTTATTTCCTAACCAATTGATAATATTTTTCCCATTCCATTGAACAAAAGGAACTCACATTGGTAATGAAAAAATGACATAAAAAATTAATAGAGCCTACAAATAAAGTTAAGTGGCAACAAGTAGCGACATAATATACAAGCAGTGGCAGTGATGAGTCATGCGTATGGGAACCGAAGTGAGGAGGATTGTCACGTACTTTTAGATATTTTCTGAATATTATTGTCTGTTGCTTGCATCCCCAACAAAACAAAAAACTCTTTCACCGCTGCCATTTATAGGTGCAGTACTTGATGTAATAGTCAATTGTCAATTAGAAAACAAATTTAAGGAAATAAAAAAGTCATATTCAATTTTAACTTTACAACTATATTCCATAAAAATAGTATAGACTATATATCACAACATTTAACAAATTAGACTAACAACACATTTCGTTTCTTAGACTGTTATCTTTTCTTCTGTATTCCAGCTTCTGAAACGAAACTAGGTATTTTAGGAACTTGGGAAAGGGTATCACTGTGTTACTGGATGCCAGAGATTTTTGTGCCTTATCAATTAGGTGTACTACTTGTTAACATTGTCCTGTTCAAACTAACAAAGAATGTCACATACATTTATGGTGTTTAATACAAGTACATCCTCAATTAATTAAGTATGTTTAAAACATTCATAGTCGTGGTTGATGTGAGTCACTGTCAGATTGTGCTAATATAAATTATTGGTTTCTCTGTTGAACACAAACCTAGTCAAACTGATGGAACAACATATTGTGAGGTATAGCAACTGTCATGACCTTTCAACTTTAAGCCAATGAATTAACAAAATAGTTATGGAGAATAGCCAGTTTTGAATTTTGCCCTGCTCTCTCTCTCTCTCTCTCTAAACCAATTATTTGTTTCACTCTCTCTCACTCAGTCAGTTGACTTACCCGCACGCTCGCGATAGTAGCACCTTCGCTACCTAGTGGCCGCCGCAGGAACTATCCGGAATTAAAATATTCCCAGACTGAATTTTTAACACAGGCATAGCGCTTCCTATATATAAGTAAAAGGCTTGTATCTATTGACTAAGCCAGCAACAATCAATAAGGTAGAAAATACAATTTTAGACAGACACTAGCACATTCTGTGATTTTCATAAAAAAAAATGGTGACACCTGGTTCTGGTGGAGGGAGATCTACTTCAGTATCCAGTAGTCAATGGTAATATTTATGCAGATTTCAGTCATGTTTCAATTTGCTGGACATCCACATTAAATGAGTGTGTCCTCATCCTGTGGATCGTAGGGGTGGATGGGATGGATAGGGTCAGGTGTGGAGGAGGGTGAGGGAGGAACAATGGTGCTGCTACTGGTGGAAGCTAGCGGAGGCGACTCCAGCGGCATCATCTGCAGTAATTGAAATTTTTTAGTTTCCCCCAAAATCCCCCATTTTGGGGATGAACACCAAGTGGCGGTTGTGCTCAAAAAGTACTTCATAACATGCCATAATGGTGTGCCGAGTTTAGTTTTTCTAGTATGGGCCGTTAAAAAAATAACAGGGGGTCTCCACACTTGTATATACTGCCCAATAACAGTACACACCTTTAGCATTCTAAAGATTAGCTTACAACGTTCCAAAGGAGCGCTAGATGTTATTGCTCTCAAGGCAGATTTTTGTAGCCTGAGTAGGTACTTCATCGACTCCTGAAGCATGGCCCCAGAGAAGTAAGCCGTAAGTAACTGACTATATGGAACAGTTATCGTGGTATATTTTTTATAAGAAAGGCTTTCACTTAAGCTACTCTTTAGTCTACTCAGAAGAAAGACAACTCTAGATAGCTTTTTTCATGTTTCATCAATTTGAGGTTGCCAACTTGATTTCCTGTCTATGGTGAAGCCCAAAAGTTTAACTATGGTTTAACTTGTTGGGGTTGGTGGCGTTGTGATACGGCCAAATTTTGACTTAAAACTGCAGACAATCTGTTGTGTTTTTGTTTTATCAGCATTATGGCTTGAAATTTGTTGTCTCTAAAAACCATATCTCTGTTTATCTCTGCTAAAGCAAGGCCAGCACAGCTGCTGCCCCCTCCCTGATTCCGTCCAAGTTCGCTCCTCCCCTAAACAGTGTGGTGTCGTCTGCGTAAAGAAGAGCTTACTCCTCACCACTAAAGTCGTTTATCATTAGGAGAAAGAACAGAGGGCCTAGAATTGATCCTTGGGGGACTCCATGTTCGTCAAATAGTTCACCAGAGGAAGCAACCCTGACCACAACAACCTCTGTTTCCTACCTCTCAAGTACGACTTTAAGGTCTCCAGTAAGACACCAGTGTTGCTCTAACATTGCAAGCTTTCTTAAAAAGACATCATGTGAGACAATGTCGAAAGCCTTACTCAGATCTAGGAGTGTGTCAGACTAATTGACTGTTTTTGGTTCTCGAAAGCCGATCAGATATCCTTTTGGCAATCAGAATCAAGGCAGTTGAAGTCGAGCGGCCCCTCCTAAAACCATGCTGAGAATCCGAGAAGAGTTAATTCTCATTCTTGTCCAGATGTTCGACCAGTTCATACATGAACCTTTCAAAAACCTTAGAGATCACAGGAAGAATAGCAATTGAACGATAGCTGGTGATGGAGGCCCTGTCACCTTTCTTTTATACTGGCACAACTATTGGTCTTATCCCATGAGCCAGACAGGTTTAATAACCAGGGTTAAGGGGTCAACAATATCACCAATCACACGCAAAATGGGTTTAATTGTAAAATTTGAATTTAAAAGTGTTTATTTGAGATGTAATAACTTTAGCGAATATTTAAATTAAAACATCTAAACAGTCAACACCTTAAATTACAGATTTTTCCCCTATATTTTGTTTGGTATACTCATCATCCAAGTTCATATGTATAGGGTTACATCACTTTCTGTACACATTGCCGCCCTCTTTTAAAACTCACTGCTACTTGGCTTTGTGCTTATTTCGCAGAAAAATGGGGTGATAATTAAACTTGTAAATAAAATCATAAGTAAAACATGCAGGATAGCTTTATTTCCTAACCAATTGATGATATTTTTCCCATTCCATTGAACAAAAGGAGCTCACATTGGTGAGTAAGGAAAATGACATAAAATATTAATAGAGCCTACAAATAAAGTTAAGTGGCAACAAGTAGCGCCATAATATACAAGCAGTGGCAGTGATGAGTCATATGTGAGAACCGAAGTGAGGAGGATTATATGTCACATATTTTCAGATATTTTCTGAATATTATTGTCTGTTGCTTGCATCCCCAACAAAACAAAAAACTCTTTCACCGCTGCCATTTATAGGCGCAGTACTTGATGTAATAGTCAATTGTCAATTAGAACACAAATTTAAGGAAATAAAAGTCATATTCAATTTTAACTTTACAACTATATTTCATAAAAATAGTATAGACTATATATCACAACATTTAACAAATTAGACTAACAACACATTTGGTTTCTTAGACTGTTTTTCTTATGTATTCCAGCTCCTGAAACGAAACTAGGTATTTTAGGAACTTGGAGGGGAAGGGGATCACTGTGTTACTGGATGCCAGAGATTTTTGTGCCTTATCAATTTGGTGTACTACTTGTTCTTGTTACTTGTTAACATTGTCCTGTTCAAACTAACAAACAATGTCACATACATTTATAGTGTTTAATACAAGTACTGGTTCATCCTCAATTAAGTAGGCCCTATATTTAAAATTGCAGTGTTAAAATCATTACTAACATGATTTGGTGAATTGGTTAGTAATTAAATAAACATGGATCGTATAGTCCTCTGGAATTAGTAACATCTTTATCGATACAACCTGACATTCCATCCCGATTTTAAAGTTGTTGCCAGTTTTTTTTGAAAATAGTGGCAGTTGATGTGAGCCACTGACAGATTGTGCTAATATAAATTATTGGTTTCTGTGTACACAAACCTAGTCAACTGATAGAACAACATATTGTGAGCTATAGCAACTGTTATGACCTTCCAACTAAGCCAATGAATGAAAAATGAACGAAATGGTTATGGAGAATAGCCAGTTTTGAATTTTGCCGCCAAAATGAGCTTCCCGCGGCCACCGCTAGGATGCGTTCCTAGGTGGCTGCCCTACTCTCTCTCTCTCTCCCCCCCTCTCTCTCTCTCTATAAACCAATTCTTTGTTTCACTCTCTCTCACTCAGTCAGTTGACTTACCCGCACGCTCGCGATAGTAGCACCTTCCCTACCTAGTGGCCACTGCGGGAACTATCCGAAATTAAAATATTCCCAGACTGAATTTTTAACATAGGCATAGCGCTTCTTATATACGAGTATAAGGTTTGTATCCATTGACTACGCCAGCAACAATCAATAAGGTAGAAAATACAATTTTAGACACTAGCATATTCTGTGATTAAGTTGAAAAAAAAAAAAAAAAAGGCGACACCTGGTTTTTGGAGGGAGGTCTACTTCAGTATCCAATAGTCAATGGTAATATTTATGCTGATTTCAGTCATGTTTCAATTTGCTGGACATCCACATTAAATGAGTGTGTCCTCATCCTGTGGATCGTAGGGGTGGATGGGATGGATAGGGTCAGGTGTGGACGAGGGCGAGGGAGGAACAATGGTGCTGCTACTGGTGGAAGCTAGCGGAGGCGACTCCAGCGGCATCATCAGCAAACTGCAGTTTTCTCTGTAGCCCGAGGTGCTGGATGTCTAAAACAAAAAAATATATTATATTTTGAAAATTGGATGTGATTTTTTAGAATGTAGTTGTTGCCTAAATTATAGTCCGTTCACAAAATTTGGGCTGTTCAAGGGGGGAGGTTTTCTGAGTTCCCGAACCATTTTTTCGCTTAATCTATAAATCAGCTGATCAGCTGTCAGCTGTTTTTTCAATGTTAGGATGAGGTGGAGGGGATGGAATCGCTTCCCAAAGTCTGTTGCCCTAACTGCTCCACTAATTTTAAATGCTACGCAAACTTTTACACACTCAAAGCCTCATGAAGAAAATATAAAAGAAATCAGAGAATTTACAAGACCATGAGAAATAGACAATTAGATGATTCAAAGGGACACAGACGAACTCCAGTGCTTTTATTTACTGCTGCAAGTCTTAGTAGTTTTTATTGTTAGTCAACGCCATGAATAAACTAAATTAAACATTAACTTAATTTACATTTAATTTCATCGTTAAATTAAGTTAGCAATAAGTAAACAACTCACCTGAGATAGAGCACTATCATCCTCATAAGAGATGTCAGTCTTGAGCCCCGCTCTGGGGTTTGTCAGCTGAGCAGACTGTGACGGGGGACTGGTAGGTGGAGGGCTGGTTGGCGGGGGGCTCTGTACAGGAGTGGGGACAGTTTTAAGGGGAGGAGGGGGCTCAGCTCTGGTCGGAGTGCCAAACTCTGGTTTTGTCGAGGTCGGAGTGGACGGCTGTGTACGACTGTGTCCGATGCCGTGGAATTCCCGCTAAACAAAATCATTCTAATTAAAACAACAGTCTTTAGACTAGGAGTTTGCTTTGCTTATGATGAAGGGATAGCAGCAAGGTTACCTTAATAGAAGTACAGGTAGAACACACCGGAGACATATATTTATATAACAATATTTTAGTCCCCTGGGTCTTAGTTATGGCTAACCTGTACTTCTTAGGTAAGCTAGCTGCTGTCCCTTCATTCTACAAATTCTGTTGTAGTGTTCCTATCTATTTCAACCCAAATATTAATGAAAATTCCTTAATTGCTTTGTTAACGATCAGCTGTTTCTTTATTCAGGACCATTTAAATTTAATAATCAAGAACAGCTGGGTCTGGCTTTTAAACTTTAAGTCGTGGCTTTTCATGATCAGGCGACCTTATGATTACTAGGCAAACATATAACAACTCAGGTAGCCTACCGGCACACAGTCTACCATGTGTTGTATGAATTATAGTCTGTATGATGGAACCTGTCTCCATGCCTACCGTTTACCTGGGACTGGCTCAGGTCATAAATCATTGACAAGTGTCCAGGTAGACCTTCGGAGGATCAGGAGACAGGTTCCATCACACAGAGTATAAGCCTAATAGTTGGGTGTCGCATACTAAGACTTACCTCCACTCTACTTTTCCTGAAACGAAACGTCTTGCGACTCTGAGCCTTGGACCGTTGCAGCCTCGGTTTCCCTTTACTCCCTCCGAGGTCACTAGCACTCTCCTCACCCGGACTCAGCACTTCTACAAAAAAACATTGTTCAATCAATACACACATGTTCAATAAATAAATACTAGAGGCATTTAGCTGATGTAGTAGCAAACTTCCCTTAAAATAATAATTTAAATGTGCGTTTCTGTCTCAAGGAATTAGTTGATAAATAAATTGAAGAAGAAGCATTTGGATTGTGAACACATTAAGAAAGACGGAATAGATACACAACTCATTTACTTATGAAAATAGTTCGAGGTAGTTAAAAGCACACAGAAATTTAACAACACAATTTAAATCTTGATGTTTCGCCTCTACGAGGGTTCTTCTTCAGCAGAAAGATAGAAGGAACATATCGTTTCCTTTTTCCTTAATGTAATTCATAAAGTTATATGGCATGTGAATAATTCACTTGTTTCTGAACTTACTACAAACACTATTGGCTTTTATAAGCTGTATGTTTGTTGTAAACCAACTTGCAATAAAAATGCAAACGTAACAAAATGATTCAAGAAAAGTTTTAAAGGGTTTAAAGAAACATATGATAATTCTTCAATTTTTCATAATTAATAGAAAAATGTAAATTCTACCTAGAAGTTTTTTTTTGTTTTGGTGTTCTGTAATTTGAATACAGGGGAAAAGTCTAAATAGCTTTTTAGTAACTTATTAATGAGAAGTCATTAGTCATTGCTATTACGACAACCATTAACCCTTTCAGTGCTAGGCCAATAATTCGTATTTCATAAGACTTTTTTGCCTTTCAATTCCATTACCTGTTGTTGAATATTAACTGTAATGTTGTCACTATTTTATTAATTAGGCTAATTTTGAATAATAAGACAATATGTAACTAAGATAAGTCCTGGTATTTGTATTAAACATTAAATAAAACTTAGTTTTATTTTGTAAATTTCTAAGTTTTCTTATAAATTGTAATGTTCTGATAGCATTGTTTGAAACCAAAATCTCATAAAATCAAAAGACATCTAGTTTACAATGTAATATTGAATTAACCCTTGGTTTAATTGGATAATGTTATCGTAATATAGCCATTTTAGGGAAAATAATTTTTTGCAGCAAAGCCTCAGTAACACAATTTATGATCACTGTTATAGTTAACTGAAAAATATCATCTAAATAGACCGTGACTAACTAGCGCTGCTACCTAGTAACGTATTGAACAACCTGCTGTAGCGCCATCTGTTTGCAATCGTTAGCGTCAACTTAAATACCGGTTTTTGACCCATCAGTCTTTAAGCACAGATAGCCAAGAAGGCTAGGGTGTGTGTCACTTGGCCAGTGGCATTTGTCTGCTCGGGTTCGATTCCCGTTCTGTGTGGCAAATAATTGGTGACCTGTGTGTTTGTAGCGATATACTACAACCACTGGGGCATAGTGAGGTGTTCATAATCCTTGGTTTAGACATACATCTCGAATCATCGGATTATGGGCGAATCTTTTAGCTAAGTGGTTATTAGTGTATCCTATGAACATGCAGGTCACCAATGGCCGTTTTGCTACTTTTTGTTAAAATAACCTTCCTCTCAGTACAGTAAAAGTATACAGTAACTGGGCCAGTACTGAGCCAGTAACAGGGCCAGCAGTGATCCAGTAACTGGGCCAGTACTGGGTTATACTGGGCCAGTACTGGGTTATACTGGGCAAGTACTGGGTTATACTGGGTTATACTGGGCCAGTACTGAGCCAGTAACAGGGCCAGCAGTGATCCAGTAACTGGGCCAGTACTGGGTTATACTGGGCCAGTACTGGGCAAGTACTGGGTTATACTGGGCAAGTACTGGGTTATACTGGGTTATACTGGGCCAGTACTGAGCCAGTAACAGGGCCAGCAGTGATCCAGTAACTGGGCCAGTACTGGGTTATACTGGGCCAGTACTGGGCAAGTACTGGGTTATACTGGGCAAGTACTGGGTTATACTGGGTTATACTGGGCTAGTACTGGGTTATACTGGGTTATACTGGGCAAGTACTTGGTTATACTGGGCAAGTACTGGGTTATACTGGGCAAGTACTGGGTTATACTGGGCAAGTACTGGGTTATACTGGGCAAGTACTGGGTTATACTGGGCAAGTACTGGGTTATACTGGGACAGTACTGGGTTATACTGGGCAAGTACTGGGTTATACTGGGCCAGTACTGGGTTATAGTGGGTTATACTGGGCCAGTACTGGGTTATACTGGGTTATACTGGGCAAGTACTTGGTTATACTGGGCAAGTACTGGGTTATACTGGGCAAGTACTGGGTTATACTGGGCCAGGACTTTGTTATACTGGGCCAGTACTGGGTTATACTGGGCAAGTACTGGGTTATACTGGGCAAGTACTGGGTTATACTGGGCAAGAACTGGGTTATACTGGGCGAGTACTGGGTTATACTGGGCAAGTACTGGGTTATACTGGGCAAGTACTGGGTTATACTGGGCAAGTACTGGGTTATACTGGGCAAGTACTGGGTTATACTGGGCAAGTACTGGGTTATACTGGGCCAGTACTGGGTTATACTGGGACAGTACTGGGTTATACTGGGCAAGTACTGGGTTATACTGGGCAAGTACTGGGTTATACTGGGCAAGTACTGGGTTATACTGGGCAAGTACTGGGTTATACTGGGCAAGTACTGGGTTATACTGGGCAAGTACTGGGTTATACTGGGACAGTACTGGGTTATACTGGGCAAGTACTGGGTTATAGTGGGTTATACTGGGTTATACTGGGCAAGTACTGGCCGGTACTGACCCAGTATAAATCCAGTACTGGGCCAGAAAATCTTTTTATATGGGATGTTATTCTGATGGATAATAAGTAAACTGTTAATTACTGTTATTTATTTTATACTAAGCTATATTAATAGTTTACTGAAAAATGTACTTTTTGTTAAAATAACCTTCCTCTCTATATTTCTTAGAGATTTAAAAAAACGATATGTCGTTTGTTAGCACTGAAAGGGTTTAACACTTTATCACAGCTGACATACCAGAGGTGGGCTGAGCCGAGGAAGCATACTTGGACATCAACAAAGCTACAGTTGGATCACTGCCCGGAGCACTGGATATGGACTCTGAAACATCAACATCATCCATCTCAACAATCTAATTAACCTGTAACGAATATTTTGTTGAGGGGGCGGTAATTATCTAGTAGCTACATTGGTTATGATACCAGGATTAGAGAACCTTTACGACATCAGTTGATTAACTGATCACTCTAAAATCATTTTGGTCGACGAAAAGCGACTTTGACATAAGATGGGAATCAGCCCAAGATTAATTTTTGCCACCACAGCCAGGAGTGCCTTAGGAGAAGGCTTGTTGTCTCTGGAGGGCAAGTTAGTCACCGATGTGCTCTAGAAACCAAAAAAGTTGAGACCACGCTTATTCTTGAGACTAACAACTTAGACTACTTGAAGGGATCCACTACAATACGTGGATCACTTTGTTATATTGGTGAGTTACCATTGCATATATTCTTCAATATTCATTTGGATACTTCCTTTTTTTCAGATATTCGCCTCACATGTCAAAATAAAAAGGATAAACTACCTGTTGTCACATTACTGCCCAAGTTTTCTCCTGACTGGATTATGCACATTACATCCCTTCAGCCAGCATAAGATTGTTAGATAATGAAACTTATCTTGCCTGAAGAGATGTGTAAAGTAAATGTTCAAAACAAAACACATAGTTTATGTTCATGTATTTTGTTACAAACTTTTGACACAACTATTCAGATACGATTAAGTTCTCATACGACAATCTAACGATGACTGATGAGCCGAAATGTGTGAATCCAGAACGAAACTTGGACCAAAAGGTAACAACAGATAATTTAACATTTCTATTTGTCTAATAACTAGTCCAGAAACACCACAACAAAAAATAAAAAAGATATCGGAAGCTGAACACCTAGCCGGAAATACTAAAGTGGATTGTCGCTCTACCTCTGTGACCCGGAGTGACGTTGCCACTTTGGTTTCCTCCCGTCAACAAGTCTATCAGAGAAGGCCGATGGTGACGTTGGTGTGTGGCGATCTTCTCACAAGATGCGTGCTGCACCTCCTTCTTCAGATTGGTCTGTTCATCTGTTGGGAAAAGTAGGAACATTTTGAGATTGGTAACCCCTAGATGTCCACGATTTCTTAAACACCAGTAACATTACGAATTATCAATTCAAAGTTTGCTTAGGCTAAGAAAGATTTGATGAATTTCTGAAACGTTGACGTATACCCACCCAGCTGACACTAATGTGTCAAAACATGTCTTGATTTCACCATTCAGAATTTTGAACTGAATTGACATAAGTAATATATTCTTACAAAAAGCTATGATACTGTACAAATCACCTATTACCATTCTCTCTTAATTAATTTACCACAAGAATCACAATAATAGTTCATGTTATATATAATCAATACTCTGTTTGAAGTTTTACAATTTAAAATGAGTATTTAAGTTTTAAAAATAGACTTAATGTGCTGAAACTCACCATACTTGCGATCGTCCAGCTCCTCCTTGAGTTGCTTCATCTCGTGCATTAGTTCCACCAGCAGAGCTCCACGACACTTGGGAGCGACCAGGCTCAGCCCAGACATCTTCTCTCTCACGATGAATTGCATCTGTCTGTCGTACTCTGACAATGGAGGCTGGTTCAGCTGATAACATACAATAGTCAATTACAGTCAATCTGTTATATATATCAGTTCCACCAGCAGAGCTCCACGACACTTGGGAGCGACCAGGCTCAGCCCAGACATCTTCTCTCTCACGATGAACTGCATCTGTCTGTCGTACTCTGACAATGGAGGCTGGTTCAGCTGATAACATACAATAGTCAATTACAGTCAATCTGTTATATATATGAGTTCCACCAGCAGAGCTCCACGACACTTGGGAGCGACCAGGCTCAGTCCAGACATCTTCTCTCTCACGATGAACTGCATCTGTCTGTCGTACTCTGACAATGGAGGCTGGTTCAGCTGATAACATACAATAGTCAATTACAGTCAATCTGTTATATATATCAGTTCCACCAGCAGAGCTCCACGACACTTGGGAGCGACCAGGCTCAGCCCAGACATCTTCTCTCTCACGATGAACTGCATCTGTCTGTCGTACTCTGACAATGGAGGCTGGTTCAGCTGATAACATACAATAGTCAATTACAGTCAATCTGTTATATATATCAGTTCCACCAGCAGAGCTCCACGACACTTGGGAGCGACCAGGCTCAGCCCAGACATCTTCTCTCTCACGATGAACTGCATCTGTCTGTCGTACTCTGACAATGGAGGCTGGTTCAGCTGATAACATACAATAGTCAATTGCAGTCAATCTGTTATATATATGAGTTCCACCAGCAGAGCTCCACGACACTTGGGAGCGACCAGGCTCAGTCCAGACATCTTCTCTCTCACGATGAACTGCATCTGTCTGTCGTACTCTGACAATGGAGGCTGGTTCAGCTGACAACATACAGTAATCAATTACAGTCAATCTGTTATATATATGAGTTCCACCAGCAGAGCTCCACGACACTTGGGAGCGACCAGGCTCAGTCCAGACATCTTCTCTCTCACGATGAACTGCATCTGTCTGTCGTACTCTGACAATGGAGGCTGGTTCAGCTGATAACATACAATAGTCAATTGCAGTCAATCTGTTATATATATGAGTTCCACCAGCAGAGCTCCACAACACTTGGGAGCGACCAGGCTCAGTCCAGACATCTTCTCTCTCACGATGAACTGCATCTGTCTGTCGTACTCTGACAATGGAGGCTGGTTCAGCTGATAACATACAATAGTCAATTGCAGTCAATCTGTTATATATATGAGTTCCACCAGCAGAGCTCCACAACACTTGGGAGCGACCAGGCTCAGTCCAGACATCTTCTCTCTCACGATGAACTGCATCTGTCTGTCGTACTCTGACAATGGAGGCTGGTTCAGCTGACAACATACAGTAATCAATTACAGTCAATCTGTTATATATATAAGTTCCACCAGCAGAGCTCCACGACACTTGGGAGCGACCAGGCTCAGCCCAGACATCTTCTCTCTCACGATGAACTGCATCTGTCTGTCGTACTCTGACAATGGAGGCTGGTTCAGCTGACAACATACAGTAGTCAATTACAGAAAATCTTTTATATACATCAAATAAGGTCAACTGGACTTTCAGTTTATTCCTGATAGGTTTGTCATATGCAATAAGAAGGAATTTAGAATTTTGCAGCCAATGTATAATGGTATGTTACTGAATCTTATGGTGTGATGGATGAGAAGGCTGTAGTCTCTGGTTCCATTCCAAGTGGTTGTGGAAATCCTGATTCCCAGGAAGATTTAGATAGCTTGCAGCAAACCTTCCTAGTTCATGAATGTAGAGTGCTAGAGAGTAGTAAGACAAAAACAATGAAAAATATCTCTACATCAACTAACAGTGGAGAACACACCTTCTGGTTGATGAAAGGCAACAACAGCACAAACACAGGCGACCGCTGGGAGACAACAAAGTCTATGAAGTTCCAGTAGAGCTGCCTCGCCTCGTGTACTTTACTCATGTCTCGCACTGTCCGAGCGATGCGTGGCCAATCCTTCACCAGGTCGTTCTCAAAACACACCAGCATGATCTTCAGACCTGTCGGGAAATTAGGCGTGGTTATTCATTGATAATTTATACTTACTAAAAAGACTCACTAAACCTGTATGTTACTTTGCGTGCTCGTCCGTATCTTCTACTTTTCTTTCCAGTCTTGTTAGGTTTATTTCCAGTAACCCACATCTCGTAACAGACTAAGGCTGTAAAGTAATTTCTTTGGCAAGACCTTTTCTTTTCACCGAGGATATGTATGACCCATCTGATTATTGTGCTTTGCACTTTATACACAATATCTGGATCTGTACAAAATTCTCCACTTTTCTTTACTTACACTTTCTATCATTGATTCTATAGATAAAGGCGAGCAAACCGTAGGAATTTTCATCGACCTCAGCAAGGCATTTGATAGTGTTTGTCATACCAAATTATTAAGTATTCTTTCAAATTTTGGAATAAAAAATAAAGCTTATGATTGGATCAAATCTTATTTATGTAATCGAACTACTTTTGTTGAACTGAAATACGTAAACAAATATAATCAACTTATATCTTGCCGTTCCAGTAACAGTCCGTTGAAATATGGTGTACCACAAGGATCTATATTGGGACCTTTATTCTTTTTATGTTACATCAATAGTTTAGCTAATTTCAGTGATCAAAGTAAAATCACTTTATATGCAGATGATGTAAATATAAAACTATCCGGATACCATGCAAATGATATAGAAATATCTTCTTTTATAAAACTTAATGCAATCCAACAACATTTAGCTGATTTAAACCTTTTATTAAATAAACAAAAAACTAAATATATTAATTTTTCCGCTTCAAATAGGAAAAGTGGGTCTGTGGTAAAGAATGTTTGTCTTAATGATTCCTTTATTGATGAAGTTAAGGAAACAAAATTCCTTGGTTTAACTGTTGATAGACTTCTTAGCTGGAACACTCATGTATCTCAAGTTTGTAAAAAAATGTCAACAGGTATTTTCATCCTTAGAAAATTATCACCATTTTGTGATATTAAAACCCTTAAAGCAGTTTATTTTGCTTTTGTGCACTCTCATGTCTCTTTTGGTTTGTCGGTTTATGGTAACACCTCTAATGAAAATTTAAACATGATACTTATATTACAAAAAAAGCAATAAGAATAATAATGAAACTTAAGTGGTTTGAGTCAGCCAGAGAACATTTTCCAAATTTAGGAATAATGACAGTTTACAACCAATTAATCTATGATCTGATTCTGTGGATAAAAAAAAATCAAAATAGTCATTGTATGCTAGGTTTTAATCACAGATATGAAACTAGAAATAAGAATAATTTTTGTTTTAATAGACATAAGCTAACATTTTATGAGAAGAAGCCAACATATTCAGGCATCAAATTTTATAATTCATTACCAGAAAACATAAAATGTATAACTGATTTTGGGTCCTTCAAAAAGAAATTGAAGTCATTTATTATTGTTAAACCTTTGTACAGTTTTAATGAATTTTTTTAAGCATATGTCGTCTGTAACAGTTAATTTAATTTCTTACAGTGATTATAATTTTAATTTATTATTGTATTATATATACTTGTACTTACTAGTTTATAATAGTACTTGTTGACGCCATTCTGTACTCTATGTGTACATAATGAATAAAGATAATTTTGATTTGATTTGATATTATTAAATCAGTCCATGAATTTTCTTTTCAAAAACTATTGTCCGCATGTCCAATCAGTTGGAAATCAGACACTTAAGAGCAAAAGAGAAGAATCAATTTTGTCCATATAAATCCTCAGAGCCGTAGACTATAAAATGAGAACACAGAAATCTCGATTATAGTTGAGTAACATACCTTTTAAACATGATATACTAATACTCCTAGGAGAAAAAGTCTTGCAAACATTATATCCCATAATAAACTGCAGAAAAATATTTCACTTTGAATTGTTGTCAGAATCTAGACGAGGCTACTGTCAACAATCAAACACTGAGCTCTAATTTAGTGGGTACTGAATAATAAACATTTTTAGGTAGCCTATTTTTAAAATGGTACAAAAGGATTTAAAGATATGAAGCAGTTATGACTGGACTCACCTAAGAATGCAACCTGGTAGACGCTCCGAGACACTGTGGGGCTGACTTTGGTCTCTCTTCCGAGGAACGTGAAGGACCCAGTGCGAGTGTCTGAGGATGACTTAAGGTTCTGCGATGTAAGTGCTGCGCTCTTGGAGGTGGGAGGACACATGGCGTGCAGTATAACAGTCAGAGTGTAGCTGATGTCTGTGTGTCTCATACAATGTACATCTGGGGATAAACAATGTGCGATATTGCTGGGTCTAAATTTGCGATGTGACAAGTCGAGTTAATGAATTAACTCGAGTCAGGCCCAAACTCAAACTCGGGCCACAGGCTGGAGTGCAATAGTCACGCTATACACATATTCTTTTTGCCTAGTACGCTAGGCTCCAGTCCGTGGTTTTTCACGTAACTTCAGGCTAGGCCGAGGCGTTGCGCATTATCATTTGGATAAATCCATTGGTGAGTGGCAGGATTTGAGCCCGGAACGTCAGGGACCGAAGACCCAAGCATTCACCACTCAACCAGCTCTCTCCCCGACATCCCACATATTGTTTGAGTCAACTTGTTAAACCACGAGCTCATAAGGAGAAATCCAAACCTATACGAACTCAAGACTGCTGACTCGTATCGCAAAACTGAAACATCATAGGCTAGGCCAAAAGTGATTTAGGCTAACGAAACTTACATATCATGGGCTGAAGCTGAAAGCCTGTCTATTGACACTCCCTAATAGAGGAATAGGTCTGACTGAACTTATTACTCAATTTGTCAAACTCTTACGAGCCAAACATACAATTGTACATAGCTTACAGATTCATAACTCGAGTCAAGAAAGAACTCAACTTGTCACACATCAGTTGCTCTAGTGCTCTCTTTAAATTAATAAGAACTCTGTCCTGTTAGAATAGAATAGAATGTTAAAATAGAACCTAAAAAAGACTGAAACCGGTCTCAATGTAAGTTGAGCTCCATGATTGCTCATATTTAAAATATAAAAAAAAGTAAATGATTAGGTAGCGTAGATAAAATCAAAATAAGTTTGCTCAACTCGCCTTTCCGACCACTGCCGACTCTGAGACACAGAGGAAGCAGCAAGTTCATCAACATACTCTCCGTCTTGTCCTGACTGGGAAACACCGAACTGCCTCCACAGACCTGCTCTAGTGTGTACGTCTCCTACAAAACACATACACAAGAAAACATTGAACGTGTTCTATACAACAAAGCAGTTGGATGAAATAACTAACAAGAAAGTACGACGATTTTTACAGATTTTGTAGTTGACCTTTGCCACCAATTACCAATAACTAGACCATAGGCTTAACCCCTCCGGTCCTCATTGTGAACATTGATTAGGCGTTTTTTTAAAGCCATTTCACGTCTGTCACGTTCCACTTCTATACAAATTACTCATTTGCTGTAAATATTACAAATCTGGTGATAAAATGCAATTGACTTGCGATTTATTGAAATCTCATCACTCCAAATTAGCACTCATTTTAACAATACACCGTAAACAAAGTATACTATAATTACTTTACTTGAAATGGCAACCATACAAAAATAGGTCTTTTAAGCCAAAGTATGAATTAAGTTTAGTGAGCTTGTGTTGCAAAAATATCCTTGATATCGTGACCATTTTCACTAACATCATCACCTAAGGTCACTAAAACTTCATCTCCTGCAATAGCAGCAAAATCAAAATCTCATATTTCCATCGTTCACAGAAACATTATAATCGGCGGCATAATCTTGAAATCTTACAAAAAAGTTTTCATAAAATGTAAATAAATTCTGTGAACCACAGGTAACATTTGTCGGCAGTACTGGAGAATTAATAATTCCAGTTACGGTAAAAATATATCTAATCTTATCACCCAAAGGCACAGCCTATTTTGAACAAATCACAAACCTCACCAAAATTATTGGTGGTATAAACCACATGCTTTACAGCCTAAAGCCGGCTACAGACATGCGCCATTCTCAAAGCACAAAATGTTTGACGTTCGGAGATCTAGTTGTCTTGCTATTCGCCGATTTACAAGTAGACGTCTACATACGTGTTGTTTTCCGAGCAACTGTTAGTTTCAGGGATAGCAAAAATATTCGTTCACTTTGATAAGTGTAAAAATACCAACAATGGACAGGAAAACACAAGCACGAAAGTTTTCTGCTTGCCAATTAGACAACCTATCCACACTACTCTCGCTGTTCGGTGCTTGGCGAATGGAGCATGTCTGGAGCCACCTTAAGACACAACACAAGTGAACCAGTACTAAAAATCCATAATCAAATAACATACCAAGTTGTTTAAGAAAACACTATTATGATCAAACAAATTACTTTTCATTACTTTTACTTTTGATCTATCTAGGTGCAGAACTAAATCTATTGTGAGTTCACTCCACACACTCGACTCAACGAATAAATTCTCACCATCGTAAGATGTCTGAATAGCTGAAAACAGATTATTGAACAAATAAAATTTTTTTTTATCTCCAAAATATTAGGCGTGTGTTATTGAACAAATAATTAGTTAATTAATTAATTGGCATTATACTTTTTGACAATTAAAATAACAATAATTTAGTTATTAATTATAACAAAAGTTAGTCTTATTTACGATAAAGTTAAATATTCATCATATAAACTATTTTATTTATTTCCTTGTATTGATATTAAAATTAGGTGTAATAATTATGTAATATTTGAAATCAAATCAAATATTATGCACACTGTAAAAGGTACAGTTAATATCTAATTTATATTGGATGTTACAAATAGTTTCTTTTACAAGTAAAGTAATCAATTAGTATGAGTTGTCTTTAGTACATTTTATATTAGTGCTGTATTAGTAATTCTACAAGGCAGAAACAAAATGTAATATTGAGATATTTGGATTAATTTTTTATAATAAAATTACTCAATTTTATAAGGATATAAAATTTTATAAGGATATAATAGGTATTAATTAAAATATAAACAAAAATTATATTTAGAGGTATTGTAAATATTGTATTTTTTTATTATAAATTTTTTGGCTATTTATGTGGTAATGTTGAAACATATTATCTTATCATCCATTTCAGTAACGTTTGAATGTAATGTGCATCTAACATAGGTAATTAGTGCTCCGTGAATAAAAAATCTTGTTTAATATAGACGTAAATAATAAAACGTGACCACACATAACTCAAGTGTATAAATAAACGACTGCTTCGTTAATACAACCCAAACTGCTTTACTTCAAAGCCCAAAAACCCTTTTTGACAAAATAAACCTTTTAATTTTGATTGTGAGGTAGTCTGTATCCTTTTGAAACACCCATGTGCCTGCACGGTCAGTAAAACAATTAAAACATGAAAATGAACTAGTTGTGTAAGTAAATAGCTAAAAAAAGGCGGTTTTCACCCTGATTTCATCCCTGGTTTCTACTTTCGAACTGAATCAGCCCTAAGCTATTTAAAGGTGATATTTTGCTTCTAAATGTGATTTTGGAAAAAGTTGACGATACCACAAACGGTGTTTTAAAACTGAACACCACTCGCAGTACTAACAAGTCTAACAAAGTCTAAACATGTTGCTCACCCCAACAGCCAATATCTGCAGAGCGATGAGTCTCACTACCATGGAACAGAAGTGCGGAGGAGGTACTTGGCTCATCAGTGCGTTGGTGGCAGACGACTGACTCTCGCCTACCATGCCGCTGTTCTCACCAAGGATCAGAGACTGTGAAAAAAACATCCCTTGATAGATTATCTCACCAGACGATGTTTGTGATTTCTTTGAGTAAAATATAAATAATTAAGAAATCCTCTTTAAGCTGCTACACTAAACTCTCATTTTTGCTGGAGAAATATCTGCATAAAATCACACTGAATAAGCTGATCTTCATTAGCTAAACTTCATCTAGTGTAAAATTGTACCAGGCTATAGCTTAGGGGCCTAGGATGTGAAGGTGGGACATAAATAAATAATTGTACTCTAAATATAAAATGTACTCTAAAAGTTCCACTCTCACCTGGCAAGTAGACACCAGCTGTTTCAAGTTCTGCATGTGTACAATGTACGGATGTCTAGATAGAGTCTCGTAGACCCCTCGTAGCAATCCACTGGCTGCTTCCCAGTCAGTGTGGCGCTGAACATAAACAAGCAATAATAAAAATAGGTAATAAACATAAAACGACTTGCACTACTTATGACAGTTCTAATTTATTTTTAAAACTTTTATTTTTTAGGTTTACAACTTGTTAAAAGTCAATACAGTGTAAGTTTTACGGTTATTTACTACAATATTCATAAAATTATACTTTTCTTAAAATTATTTAAAAGTGTTCCACAAAGCACTGATCATGTACGTGAGTTTGGGGCACAACATGCTGAGAATGTAAGAAACAAAGTTCATGTCATTAGAAAAATAAACATTTTACTAGTAACACTTTATCCATAAGTTGTAATCATCATTCACAACTATCAATGTAATCTAAACCACATTGAAAAACTAACTTATAATTCAATCCAATAGAATTAAGGGATAGGAGCTAGCTTATCTTAGAAAGAAGTACAGGTAGGCCAAAGAACATAGAAGCCACATAAAAAAACACACAATATTCCGTCCCTGGGACATTTAGATTAGACAAAGATGAAAATATCATTGTTTATTTGTCCAAAATAATATTGAACAATAAAAAACTCACCCCAGAAAATAAAATACTGTGTATTTTACATGTCTGTGAGTTCTATGGCCTATCAAAAAATCAAAATCCCTAAACTCTTTCCTTATACAAAACTGTTATCATCCAACTCATAGATTTTGATAAACCTAAATAAATCCAGAATCCATCTTGGTAATTCAAGTTTGACAAGAACGTACCCTAATGCCGGGTTTCTTGTATATCTTGCTGAACGTCTTGTCTATGCGGCGTAGTATGAGGATGAGAGCGGGTCGCAGCGCCTCGTTGGACCAGTCCGTGGACGGCAGCAACTGGGTGATGTAATGTTGTAACCCTTTACCTGACATCGTGTCAGGGTCGTACGGTGAAACCTTCAACAGTGTGTGGGCAATGTCTGCCAGCCTCTGTGAGGAAACATTAAATAAGTTTTTTTGCTATCCCAGTTTAAAGAACTTGAATTGTATAAGATTATCTTTGTTGTAGCCTGTAGTTGAATAGGTAAGAAGTTTGAGTCACCCTATGCATGAAAATCTTTTAAATGTTGATTTGATAGTGTTTTAAGCCAAAAACATGTTTTAGTTTGAAATATATAAACAACATAATTCAGTAAAACTTTCTCTTCTCAGATTAAACAAAAAACTCTTTTTTGCCCTTAATTATCTAAACCCTTACACACCAACATCTATTATAGTGAAGTTACAGAACGTACTGTTTAAAGGGTTAATTTAATAATTGGCACATACAATGTGGGATCTGAGATCCAACAGCTCGACCACTTTGCCGTCTTGAGGGAACTTCTTATTGAGTTCGACTAGTCTTGTCGTGCAGGTTGTCACAAAATCTGCGACAAGAGAAAGCAAGACGTCGCGAGGTCTTCGGAAGTCATTACGCAAAACCTGTCAACAGCATCATCATTAAAGTATTGAAGATTAGTTTTTTGATTCTAAGAATGCAAAAAAAAAATGTCCTACAGTATCTCTTTCACACAGTAAGTGCATTGTACTATTATTTTTTTGTATCCTAAAGAAAACTATTGCCCAGCTGTCACAAATTTTTTATCTAAAAAGAACATAGTTGTGTAAGGCAGTCACAGAATGTTCTAGTGTCTAAAATTCTACCTTATTTATTGTTACTGAGATAGTTGACATTACATAAAAGATGCTCTAACTTACAATAAGTCATCCCATCAGATTAACTTAGATAAAAACTGTGCATATTCGACGGAAATCACTAATTTATATTAGCGCAATTTGTCAGCTCACTTCAAATACGTTTCATTTCGATTTTAAAAAACTGGCGGCAACTTTAACATGGGAGAGGAATGTTTAATTCTATCTAGGCAAAGGTTCTACCAATATATATGTTTCTCTAAAGAAAGAATTAAAACACATTACTTCATTACTTGTGATGATGGGTTGGTGCTTGGTCTGATCCAAGCGTTTATAAATTATATTTCCACATTTGTCGTATAATTTACCTCAGAGTCTTCCATATCTCTCTCGTGATACATCTTGGTCCTACTCCGGTCACTGAGGTACTTGGAATGAGAATCCTCCTCAAACTCAAACCCGGGGGAGTACGGCGCTCGGCTGTAATTCTTCTGACTCGAACCCTTGTGCTCTGGGCTTGAAGGGTTTGGTCCATTGTAGTTCCTGGAAAAAATTGCTTGTTAATTGTTGTTAGACAGTGAAATTGCCAAATCTTTGGTTAGTGATAAGGAAAATGAAACATTTCCTAGTCGTAGGAGGGATAGGAGAAAAAAATACGAGCATGGTTGCTTATAGAGGATTAGTATATTATAAGAGCTTATTTATACCCTTGTTCAAATAAAGGCTCTGCAAAATTATAATCCGTTTAGGATTACCACTTAATCCATGGTAGGCATTTAAAGGTTATGTCTATCCACAGATATCTACATCAGTAGATTCTTAGATATCTACATCAGTAGTTTATAATATTATTTGAATTGCAATTGCTTTCATCTCTAAAACCTACAACTGTTTACACAATGAAGTTTATTATCAACTTTTGTTTTCTGAACTTTATCTATATTCTATACCACAGTATGAGATCTGTGTCCTCGTCTACTCCATTTTCCTTAGCAAAGCCAGACAAACTAGTTGCACCACGGCAGATAATTCCAGTTGCCTAAATTGTGTGTTTTTACTGTATTAAAATTATTATTCAGTGGTAACACACTTACTTGGCCAAACCCTCGCAGTTGTTGACAAGAGTTTTTATAGCGATTGCCAATTGACTGATGATTTCTCGCTCGGTCTTGCCTTCTTGCAGCTTTCTATAGCTAGGTAACCGAATCTGCTGAAGATAACACGGGAGAACTGCCTCCAGAATCGTCTGTCAACAACATTAGTGAATGTGTTAGCGGTATTTTTACAACAAAACTGGATTACTAATTATATAATCGCTTACATCTACACATTGTAATAGGGGGTTAGTAAATAAATATATTAACTATAAATTGTTGAGCTCGAAGTGAGTCTGCTACGCCACCACCGATGTACATAGAGATAGTCAAGCAGGGATGAGCTTTTATTTTTGCGGAAAGCGTCTGCTAAGATGTGCAGTTGAAAATTATGGTGTTGCCTGTGGAAGACGATTATTATGTTGCCGTGACCCACGAAGGTATTCACAATTTTCGCCGTCACCATGGTGGATGTTACAGTTTTGATGTAACTGCAGATATTGTCTTGGATTTTGCTGTGACTGTTCAGGATATTGCCAAGATGTTGAGGAAGATGTTCACGATTTCAATGTAACTGTGGAAGTATTTGTGATTTTGTCGTGACCCCAGAAGACGCTCACGATTTCACCCAGATGATGTTCTAGGTTTAACCGTGACCTAAATAAAAAAATATTTTATTATTCAGAAAATATTTTGTATTCAGACATGACTGCAAAAGATGTTTAAGATTTTACCACATATAGGGAAATCATGTACCCATTGTTACAATTAATATTTCTTCTAATCAACACTCTCTAAAGCAACCCGTTTGTAACCAGAGACCTGGGGGCCAACATTATTTACCCGACACGAAAAAGTGTGGTCCGCAGACTCCTACCCACCAGCATCTGTTGAGCCCGCAGCGAGTCAGCCGCGTACGCCACCACCATAACACACAAAGAGATACAGTCCAGCACCGTGACCATCTCACTCTCATCGTGATAGCAGAAGTCAATGGCCTGTAGAGGCTTCTCTTCTTTGACTAACTCTCCGATGTTGAGCGGGTCAGGAGAGGGCGTCTCAAGACTGAGCAATAGGCTGAACAGACACGAAGACGGCACCTGGCGACAAATAGTGTAAAATCAATTTGGTAAGTTTGTGAGAATGTATTTTAAACTAGGGTTTGCTATGTTGATTGAAACACTATGAAACACTGAATGGTAAACCAATAGCATTATACAGCATAGTGGTGCTGATATTGTTACTGGACACAAATAAACTTATCAATCAAACAACTTACCTTGTGAGCGTCACCAAACTGAGCGGAATCGTCGATGTCGAGGATCGCCGAGACGCTGCCAAACATCTGCAGTATGAAAGGTTTCCTGTTCATGAGGTAGAACTGCTTCACCACATACTCAACTGTGCGGGTGACCAGCTTGTTGGTCTGATGACTAGCGTACAGCTGCAGTAGTGTGGGGATGATCAGGAAATATCTGAAAATAATATTTTTATATCACTCAATACAAAATTGCAAATTGCATGTTATACGAGCGATTATTGCAGGCATTTTCTTTCCACAAGTTAGAAAACCTATTCTTTCCACAACGTTTTGGAATCTGGAATGTGAACCGTGTCCCTGATGAGAGAGTACCTAAAGTAGTGCATAATTTGTACTGACATGTCACATACTCATTGATCCTCATTCTTCAGCCACAGTATTATGCATTTTGGTGTTGAATGAATTGAATTGAATTGAACATGAAAAGATTAGAACATAAATTCTGCTACAGCTCAAAAATCACATAAGTAAACAACACCGAGAACAGTGTGTGGTTCTCTGATAAAACAAAACAAAAATACAGGCCAAACGTAACTAGCAACCTTCATACTTGGAGTCAAGCTTAATAAAAACCAGAAAACTCAGGTTAAGTCAGCTAAATTTTATTGCCAATTAAAAAATTACGGAAATTGGAACGCCTAGTAAAAATTTACAATAGCAAATCTTGTAATAATAGGGAACTGAGGAATCTGCTTAGGTAGGAAACTTATCTGCTGAAGAAAAACGATGACTTAGATGAGATGACATGGACATGTTATGCAAAGTGGAGATAACATGAAAGGACTCCACCCCCTGGACATCTAGGGTGAAAATATAAAGTAGCCAAAGGCATGAGAATGTTGAGTACTGACGAAAAAGCACTACGGGAGGCATCTAGTTGGTCAAAAACCTTAATGAGGAACACAAGTAAGTTTGATTGCCAATTAGTCACACATTACACACCCGTTAGTGGAGAAGATGTTCTTGAAGTTGTGAGCTGCGTTGATGTACGTAGCCATGACATAGCGCAGGATACACGCGTCTTCACTGTGCAGGATCACGGCTCCGTTGAGGACATTAAGAAACAAGTGGATGTCACCGGAGTAGGCAAAGTTACCGGCCATCGCCTCAAACATGCGAGCAATCAGGCGAACCCACATGAACTTGTGCAGCACATCCAGACCTAGCAGCTCCTGAAGACAAGTCAAATAAAAATAAAATTGAAATAAAAGAGATTCTCTATATTGGAAATCAAATTAAAATATCCATACCACTTATCCTATTTACTAGTGATTGTCAAAACCAGAAACTTTAAAAATCAAATCCCGAATCTCGAATCTCAAAGCCTAAACGCAAAACTTTTTTACTTAGCTAGTTACAAAGGTCAAGGTTACAAAAAAATAAAATGTTGAGTATTCAATCAAAACTGAAAGAGATTGACTCTTGACCGATATAACATAAATATGTGACTGATAATCTTAAATCCCAATAAAACATATTTTTTTATAAACAACCTATATTAAAATAAATTACACTCCTAACACCAACATAAACATGAATATTAGATTAATTAGAACATTTAGTGGTCAATATTTTGTTGTGTTTAGTAAATATAGATATGAAACTGAATCTTACGTCGTTCCAGTTATTTAAGATGCCTTTTGAAGTTCAGAATACAATTGACTTGTTCTATTACTGTTAATGGTGATATGTTTGCTCGATTGCTACCAGCTTGTTTGGAAACAGTGTTAAAAACAATAATAACATTATGACACAAAAAAAGTCAGCATTTTCAAAAATAAAAACTGCCAAAACTTCAGTTTCGAAACTTTTGAATCTCGAAACGCGGTGATCGAATCTCTAAAACCAAACTTTTCCAAAGTTTTAATGGTTTTGAGAATTTAGATTCGGTTTTGGCACATCACTAATATTCATATCAGTGACATAAATAGCGTCACTCACAATGTTTCTTTCTAACAATATTTCTGAAAATGAATTAAATAAATTAAATTCTTCCATAAGATACAATAGATTCTCAATTAAAAAGTCTTTCATAATATTGCCAACCTTTTAATTATCTGACTCATTCTTAAGTTTTGGGGAATTTATTTTGAAAACTTCATCCCATGATGGTTTTTATTCATACTCAATATGTGTTTAACTAAATATTTTTCATTTTTGTTTCTGGTGTTTGCGACCTAAATTTTAGACATTTGTGACTTAGGAAGTTCGATGAATTAAACAAGAATGTGCTAATTTTGAATTTAAACGTCAACTTATATTTCACTTCTGGATTTTTACTATTGTGTATGCTAATTTACTTTTCAAAATCGAAATCTTGTATATAATTTACCTTTCCCATTTCCCCTCCTTTGTACAGGTCTAAGTCTGCTTCAAGGGCTTTTCTTGGGAATGAAGGTAACTTCATCAGTTCTTCATGCAGAAAAACAACACGTTGAACAACCTGAGAAATTGAAAAGCAAGTTTTAACATATTGACAAGTGATATCAAACAATGAAAGTGTTTTTACAAAACAATTTTAAGTAATATTTATTGTGTATGGAACTTTAGTCATGGAGTAGAATGTATTCACATATCCTGATTTTAAGAGGTTTATGGTTGTCTAAAATCTGTTTTAATCAGTAGCTTGTTGAACATCATACACATTTTGGCAAGGCTGCCAAATATTTTCATTGTTAGAACTGCACATACTTTTGTGCACAATATTCTGCTTATGGTTGGATACTGAGTTAGTTGGGTTAGCAAATTAACATTAATAAATGACAAACATCCATAATTATCTCAACGTAACTAAGTGGTACCCGAAATATTTTGGCCCTGCAAAGTGTTGTGGCAGGATAAAAGGTTGGGAAACACTGCTCTAGAAGCTGCAAGGCTTTACAACCTACCATGTCGACATTCTTGAGGATGGCCCAAGTGAGAAGGACTTTTCCAATCTCCACAAACTTATGCATGAGTTCCTGTCGTTGCAACGCATTGAAGGCCTCGTCCGCCTTCATATGCACCAGTTTCAGTTGTGGATATTGCGAGCGCTTGAAGAAGTAGAAGTCTCTCACATAGGACGTGGGATTGTGGATCTGATCTGAAGCATAATAGTTAGTTTATTTATTTTAATTTTAGTGATGGGTCGGTACTTCACGTCAATGTGTCGGTTCGGCCGGTTCTTGGCAAAAGAACCGGAACCGAGGATTGACGATGAAATGTCGGTATTGGTAGCTTAGGTACACTAACACAGTTGTAATAGACAAAATTATTGAATCACTAAACAACAACTTGTTTGCATTAAGTGTTGCAATTTGTATGCAAAATTGAAAACAAGTTAGAAGTCGTTTTGAGAGGTTATATTTACATAAAAAGTATTTTTGATTTCTAACTTAGTTTGTTTAAATAATGGTGCATACATAAGCGCATTATTTACTTTCGTACGTTTGACTGTCAAAAATTCACTAAGCTGTTTACCAATTTCAATACCTGCACATTTATCAGTATCACTGAGTTTCATTTATCTATACAGTGTTTAACTGAATACAAATTTAAGTAGTATTCTGTGTCTCTTATATTATTTTTTATTTTTAAACCAAACCAGACACAAAAGATTTATTTGTTTTTAAAACAACCTATAATTTTACAAATTGTATTTCGTTAACCACTTACGAGTTTTGTGATCAACCAAGAAGAACTCTTTGTGACGAGCTTCGTCTATTCCAAAGAAGTCCAGAGATTCCCTCAGGATCTGGCAGAACTGAGTGTCTTCCTGTACCGGGAATTGGGAAGGGATTCCACCGGCATCTTGCTCTGGAAACCATTCAAAGATGCAAGTCACATCTTAATTTGTTCACATTGTCATTAAGTTTTGTGTTGTTTATTTATTTTGATGTTTTCACTTGTTGCTTCCTTTGACAACCATACAAGCCAGCACCTTGTTGATGGAAATTTTGGCAAGATGTAGGCAAGATAGCATATTTTGTCATACCTTGAGGTCCGTGAACGATGATCTTCTTGGTGGAAGGTACGTTGGCAGTGAGGAGGATGGAGGCATCACACTGTTCCTTACGCAGAATCTGTTTGAGGTCTTTGAACATGATACCATGTACACTATGCACCACCTGAAACATGGTTGTAAAAATGTAGCAGCATGAATTCATGCGAAGTAGACAGCCCATCTACATGAATGAGCAGCCACAAAGTGTGCTGGCATCTAAAAATCTATTTTCTACCTTTTTTTTTGTAACTGAGATGGTTAACGTGACCAAATAGTCTGCATAAAAAATCATTAATTTACATCAGCTCAATCTGTCGGCTGCTCAATTCAACTACGTCTATTTAAGTAAAAAAAAAAAAAACTGGCAACAACTTTACTATTAGGACGGAATGCCTTCTTCCATCAATAGTCGAAGGTAAAGCTTGGCACAATCGATAATCAGATTACCTTTACAAATCAAACTTCATTTAATCTTACCATCCACAGCACAGAGAGTGCAGCCCCAATCAGTTTCTGTCCCTCTTCGTGCGGAGAGCGAACGTAAAACATGACGTAGCCGATGATGTAGTTGTACAGTGTGAACGCTGCTTGCTGCGGCAGCCGTGGCACGAAGCGAATCAAGTGACGGAGAATCTTGAACATCAACTCTTGCTTCTCTCTGGTTAGTCTCTCCAGTATGTATCTGAGGAACAACGCACTGTCTTCCACCAGACAGTTCCAGATAACCTAAAAAACACCTAGAGGTAAAAGGTGGACGTTCTTGGGAATTTACTCGCTTTTAATATTGGATGTAGATTTAAGCGGTTGAATTTCTCGTAATTTTTAGGGACAAGTTCTTCTTTTCTGTTTACTTATCTCTCCTTTTACAAAATATGTTTTATGGATGACGTTACAGCTGTTTAACTATCTAAATAAAAATAATAAAATATTAAATTGGATAAGAGCAAGAATTGTTTATGAAGTACTAAAAGCAGCAAGCATGTGCCTGGGAAGATCAGGAAAGAAATGTCAGTCTGTTTAAGGATGGAGCTGGGATTCCATTTTTTAAAGTGACAAAATTATGGTTTAACTTTTAATTTTTCTCTACTTTTTTAGTTTTTCTGTCCAACTGAAACATTTATACATTTTACAGTACAAAAATGGATCAACCTGTACACTCATCATTACAATAATATAACAACTGTAGCAGAGTTTTAAAATGGCTCTATACATGCAACGTTTCATCTGAATCGGTTAGGTAATTTTCACATGATAGAATATCATCATTGCACACCAACATACTTCCCCATTTATATTAATTAGTAGGATAGGATTACCAAAAGAAAATACACAGTGGGGTAAAAATATTGTTTACACATTAATTATTAGTTACTCCAACTGTACTGTCAGAACAAATTTAATACCCGACAAACCTTTTGTGCTGCAACTACTCATTGTTCACTTTCCTTCATTAAAGAAGAAACGCTACTGTTTGTACCTAAAACAGATTTGTTTGTTCTGTCCTTGATAGTAGGGGAGAAAAATGGTAGAGGTGGAGCGAGGGACTTGGTCTCCAAGGTCCGAGAATAAAATCTTGCCAGTCAATGGATCGTATCTAAGTGATAATGGCACAACCATGTTGTCCTAGTCGGTAATGTATAACAGTTCCAAGCTAGAGACTACATCCTACAAGGTGAAGGTAAACCAAAAATGTACCTGGTAGGCTATCTCATAGACAGCGTTGCCGTCCGGAGACACCGCTGCATCATCCAGCAGGTTGATGATCTGTATCACAGCCGAACACAAGCACGAGGGGAACAGCGAGTGAGCCGAGTGTATCAGATGACTCGTGTTCCGTTGCTGAGTCTCGCCTTGCTCTTCATCCCCACCTGATACACACCGTTTCGTAATCACCGTATTACCGTAAGTGATCTAATTTATAAAATAAGTTATTAATATCTACGACAACGTCGAAAATTCAATAATTTTTTACCTGGAAAAAAATAAGGCACTGCGATTTTGTGATTTTTTTGTGTCCTTGTTGGTTGACTATAAATATTATTCACAATCTAGTTTTAACACAATAATTAGACCTGTACTTTCCGAGACCCCGATATTGTAGGAGAGGCCAAATCAGAAGGCTAACGGTGGTTGGCTAAATCTCGAGGAGAAATGAAGAGAGCTTGTTGAAGAAGGTGCTAAGGGGAGATCTGAGAGAAAGGAGACCAGTAGGAAGACCAAAGGCCAGGTGATGAGGTCAAGTCCGGAAAAATATGGGAAAAATTAGAAAGAAAAATTTGGAGGATCGAGAGAACTAGTGACAACGTGTTGGCGAGGACAAGTACCAGCTTGGGTACAAGTGGCCATGGTAGTAAGCAGTAAGTATCTAGTTTTACCATTTAAGTAACTTTTCATCTATTTATCCAGTTGCGGTTGAACAAAAAGCAATGTTTTGTGATCGAAGAGTTTGAGACATAAATTATTGGTCTAATGGAGAAGTACAAGTATTGTTAATCACACTGTTGAGGAATCCTGAAGAAAGGATTTCTGAAGGATGTACTGAAGGGAGGATTCCTGAAAAAGGGTTCCTGGGGGATATTCTGAAGGAAGGATTCCTGAAAAAAAGGTTTCCTGGGGAATATTCTGAAGAAAGGATTCCTGAAGAAAGGATTCATGGAGGAAGGATTACTGAAGGATTCAGCGATTTAACTCCTTTTACCAGCTATTTAAATCCCACAACTTGATAGACTCACCCTCATCATGATCATCGCCCACCGCGTGGTGTAGGCTCGGCTCATAAGCAGCTTGTACTGTAATCGGTATTGTCGTCACCAGAAAATTCTCTCTTTCCGATCTCCGTTTGTCTTCTCTTGCTTGCAAAGCCATTTTTATCAATTCCGTTTGTTGTTTTTTACGTGTTTTCGTCGCTGTGACCAGTGATCGCTGTACAAAAACAATCATTACAAAATGTGGAAATATGGATTAAATCTAATTAACTCTTTTTTTAGTATATTACAATAAAATACAATTTTTAGTATATTACAAAATATTTTCTCAGCTATAAAAGGTTAAAAAAATGTTAGAGAGGAAGAAAAAACACATACTTATAGATATTAAATGTTTGCTTGAGTTTTAAAATAATCTACAATGAAATTAATTAAAATTTAAAATTTGTGTCAGTAGGCCTATAAGCTTTGACGTGCTAGAAAAAAATTCTTAATATAATATTATAATTCATAATATCATAGAGATGATATATTATCAGATGTATTAATGAGATGTGATGGTGTTTTTTTGGAATAGTTAGATTGCTTTGTAAACTGATTTGTAATTTTTAGAAATATACAATCAATTTTAGTGCTTAATGTATGTACAAATGTCTATCAACTATTTAATTTTAAGGGATTTTCAGCAAGTAGTATCATGCAAAATAATAACTAAATTAAAAATGTATTTATTTTGCACATTGTTACTAAGCACATTCATAACTCTATGTTGGACTTTATTTACAAATACTATAAAAACAAAACAGATATCAATAAAGACTAGTTTCTAAAATGAAAGGTTAAACTATTGTATAATTTTTATTTTGTTATTTTTGGCTGTTCAATGCTAAAAAGCCACAATCAATGCAACATTACTTTCAAAGCATTTTTATTGGAACAACTACGGATTCAGCTGAAACTATATGGATCAGCCAACTAAAACAAATGTTCAGGAAAATTATAAATCAACGGGAACCACTATACACTTTAAACCAAACCTTAGAAGAAAGTAATGGCTATCTAAATCAATATTTCATCGTTTGAACATCCCTTTATCAGGTGTCACGAAAAGTAAACACCTGAACGACTAAGATAAATTCATCTATGTATCAATAGAAAATAAAATTAGAGATCTGCTGTATCCAAAGTATAACATTTAACATGTACAATTTCAATAATATACAATTTCGAGAATGAAAACTAATTCAGAAAAAAATAATATGTTGAATGTTGATTTTTTTGCATATTAGTGCGTTGAAGATCAAGAGAGTTATCTAAGAATGGTCACAACTTTTCAGTGATAGCAGAAAATATTATTGTAACCCCCATTGCTCGTTGTCTTGACTATAAACATACATCTGGCTAAACAGTCCCAGACGCTTACTTTTGAGCTAGCTGTTGTGCCGATCTTGAACCAAAACACTCAAAATCCTCAGAAACTCAAAAACGGCAGACAACATTGTCCAATCACGACGAACGCATAGGGATACATAGATAAACATTTGAATGTAAGAAGGAGAAGCGTGCAACGACCACTTGGAGGTGCTGAGTCGTGTCGACGAAGTTCTGGTTTTCATCAAAAAACTCATTCGCTGCTTGGTAAATCACATTCGGGATAAATTGCACGTGTGTTGATCAGACAGAAAACGACTCGACGTACGACCTCCAAGTGGTCGTTACACACTTCTCCTTTTCGCATTCAATCCTTTATCTATGTATCCCTCCGCGTTCGTCGTGATTGGACAATGTTGTCCGCTGTTTAGGTGCTGATTTTGAGTGTTTCAATTCAAAATCGGCACACAGTGTCTAGTAATTAAAATGATCCTTCAAGTTATTTAAGTTTTTCGGGAACCAAATAAATGTAACAGGAGAGGATATTTCCAAAAACATATACAGTTTCACACTAAATTAAAATCATAAACCTAATTTTATTGAATAGAAACATGACATATCTTTGTGCAGAAACATGATTTCTTTCAAGTTGCGAGATTGGACTAGTGCACAATTGTTCATGTAATAGTAATAATGAATAATATTGAATACAGGTTGTGGAACAAAATATACGATAAATATAACAATGCAAGTGCAAGAGCCAAGTGGCAAAACCAAGGTGCAACCAATTCAATTTGTAGATTGTAATTAAATTTTTGAACAACATTCTAAACCAGGGGTCTCCAACCTTTTTTCCGGGAATGTTGCTGAAAGTCAACAGTCCCGGAAGATCAAATAATTTATACCTGTGCCGCTAGGTCAAAAACTACAATTTTTGCAGTGTCTGTAGATCAAAAATCCCAGAAAGTCAAATAGTACAGTCCGGGCTAAAAGTTTAGTCTATGTTAAAGCAATTGACTTATTGGGAATTTGACCTAATGCAACAGCAGGTTTAATATAACGAAATACGGTAAAATACAAGTTCAGTTTCGCTGAGTCAAAAGTGCCGGAAGATCAAAAGCAATAAAAGTGAACGTCGATTCAGTGTAAAGTAGACCTCCTGCAACGCTTACTACACCAACAAAACTCGCTTTTAGTTACTTCGTGTTTTGTCATAATTAGAATAGAGCTAAAATTATCATATTTGGTACATAGCTTATTTATTAATGCTTCTTGCCAACTGTTTGGTCAACACTGTAAATAGGTATAGTTTATGTAATGAAAAGCCTTTCGTCAAAATTTGTGGCATAAAATACACGCAAGGACGATCTGAACATTTCTGGTTATTATATACGTTTGTAAAAGGAGATCCGTTTAATTGTAGAACTATTTTATGAGTTATAATGTAGTCTACATATAAACTGTGTAATGTATTACGCCACGGAAGGGTTGAAACCTGTCCAAACTATCATATATATTATTATAACGTAAATGGGGGTTTTTCACGATTCTGAATCAACCAGTCGATGGATTTTCATTAGTTTTGTGTTGAAAGAAAGACAATTTTGAGAACTAGATAATTTCAAAGCCATAATTTAAAATTAATGTCCCAGTTTTTTATAAATTAAGTTTTAGTTTTTAAAAAGTCTAGCAGCCGATGCTAACCTTCTCCAATAAGTCAATGCTTCTAGCTAGCTTTTAGTACAATATAATTTGCTTAACATAACAGCTGTAACATTCAGTATTTGTGACACAAATTCAGCATTTGGAAGAAAATTCAAATACATACTTATGGTTGACTTATTTATACTATGTATGTGTAATGCTGACCATTGATACATTTAATTCTTCGGTACGAGGATGGCAGTTTAATTAAATGTGCATAGTAAAATAGGTACAGTAGTAGGATGTTCAAATTATTTTTTAAAGTATTCTTTGTAATCATCGATTTGTTTTAGTCCAATATAATTTGTTTTAACTAACAGCTGGTTGAATGTGCTATGTATACTTATAAAAGGCAAAGCCCTCACTGACACACTCACTCTCACTCACGCATCATCACTAATTCTCCCACTTCCCATTTACCTAGGAGGTTGAAATTCGATTCACCGATTCTTTGGGCATTAAATAGGAAAACTAAGTAGTTTTTATTATGATCGGGCATTCGGGCTCCGCCCCAGTGGCTCTGGAGTTTCCCATCTGAACCTTATGATTTTTCATATTTAAAAGGAATTAATGAATCATAACAGCTGTGTCAATTCAACAATTTATGACAACAGCTAATTTGCAACCAAAAGCTGAGTGAGCGTTTCGAACGAACTTCAACCTGGAGGTGAGTTAACCCCAAGGCAAGTGAGCTCAGCGAACGAGCTCCAACCTAAAGGTGAGAGAGCGTAGCGAACGAACTTCAACCAGGACTTGATTGAGCCATGCGAACGAGCTAATCTTGAAAATTAATTAGTTTAACGGGGCAAAGCCAGCGGGTACAGCTTGTTATTCTATAGAATTATTAGGTTTTTAGCGAATTTCGCATATAGGGAATAAGCTATTACCGTATAACTCATGGGAACACCTGGACCCGGGACCGATGTAATTTTTCGTTTTGAGTCCCTAGAGGCCAAAAACACCATCCGTTCAAATTCATATATATATAAGTGTATAAAACATTTTGGGGACTTGACTTTTTCGGGACTCGAGAATTTAGTACTTTTCGAGGACCTGTGCAATTTATTCCATTCCAAATGCAGCGCGTTATCGATCTTCACCCTTGTGTGGGCCTCCCATTCACTGACGGAATGTCTCGTGGCGTATGACGACCGGATATAAATAGTCACTTTAACACTCACTTATCTCGTTATTTTTTTCAGCATATTCGTTGACCCGTCTGCAGGTCTTATGTTAATGGGCTGTCAGAGCGTCTGTTGTAATAACTGGAATTCCTTATGTATGTTTGCTGCTGATTACGGTGAAGTATTGTTAGAAATTCCACCTAATCTTTTAAAGTTACCCATTAAATTCATAGAAATAATAATATTTAACTGTTTGACGAGTACCCCTATTGTATTCAAAATACTCAACGGCCCAATCCAATGTCACGTTTCGTATTTTGTATACTACCGTTAATTACTAGACTTAATTACTAGCTTCATTCCCACTGTTCTTGTGAACTTAACTCTAGATCAGACTGTTGCTTCATCCGCTTCTTCATCAGTTAATTTTTCATCTTAAAATCTAAAAAATATCTTTTTGGTACCTATGTTATCACCCACGGGATCTTTGAATAATTTTAGGCTTAACTGAATCTGAAGTATGTGTTTTGGTGGTTGATCATTGTAATGAATTATATAAGATTAACCTGCATTACACTATCGACAAATTAACTATCAAATATTTATTAAAACACTGAAGCATACTGCAAACGCTGAGTCATACTGCAGCAAAAACAGCCGTATTTAGTGAGCTTAAAGTAGGTATTTTCACTATTTTCTCCCTAGGAAGTGAAAGTCAGCTGATTTAAACTCAGTTGTGAGCTTCGATTGTATGCAATCGCATGTATCGAAAGTATGTATAATTTTTTTCACCACACTATGATGTTTTAGTTAATTTACAGTCTGTTTCAAAAGTAGAAAAATAAGCAAATACATTAACAATAATACAACGTTAAAAGTATAGTGATTTACCACTCTCAACACTAGCTAACAAAGATAATTTTGATAACACAGCCGAATCTGAATGGGAGGTTTAATGTCGTAAATGGTGTTGTGATTGTCCAATAAATTTAGTGCAAGATGAGAGCTCGCCTTGTGG